CAGAGAAGGAATGTTTAGCTATTTTGATGGGAATAAATAAATTTAGGAAATATTTGCTCGGAGCACCATTCATGATAAGGTCGGATCATGCACCTCTGCAATGGTTGAATGAGAATAAAAATGTTTCCAGTAGGAGAATACAGCCGGTATTTTCATTATCGCTGCAGCCGGTAATATTTGAAATTGCCTACATTGATGGTAAAGATAATGCTCTAGCTGATATACTATCTAGGTGTCCTGTTAGATCAAATTGAATTAATCTTTTGCGAAAAAAGGGGATATGTAGGGATCCTATTCGGATTTTTTTAGTCAACTCTACGAAGGAAGAGATCAGAGGAACAATGTGTTGAATGTAGAATTGGGAGTGGGGGTTGACGTTTCCATAGCAGTGTGCGGTTGCTATGTGGACTTGCCTTTGGGTTACGTGCAATGATTTGTATGTGGAATTCATCAACTGCAGGAGGTAGGGTTGGTCATGTTTAGTATTTATATCCTAGTGTCGTGCGCCTAACCTGGCCCTCTAAATCAGATACACGCTGCCGAGCGAGGTCGAGGGCAAGTGCTTGCTATCTAACATAACCACCTAGATAAACTTATTTTAAACAAGAAAAAATTCGATGGGTATTTTTCATTAATACTTTTTAATAATTCAATATGATAAATAAATGAAAAAGGTTGAAAACTCCTGCATTGAAAAAAAAAATTTTTAACAATCTCCTCCACTTGTCAGCCGCCTTATCAAGAGCCATTTTCTTCACGGGGGTCTTTCGGTTTCTAGCCTGAGATGCGAAGCTGGCACACACGAAGCAAATTGGATGAATTGAAGAATTTATGGATATTGCAAGCGAGATTTGAATGCACGTTATCAATGTATTTTTAAAAATTTTGCTTATCGCAGGTTTAATTAAATCCTCAAAAAAATGACTCCTTAAAAATGATCCCATATGTCGCCTCTCAGGACCTCCATCGCAGTCCACCTCGGGGCTCCTAGTGCCAATCTCGCCACTCTATTCTGTACCATTTCCAGTTTATCTAGCCTGCCTTAGGCTGCAGGTACCCGCAGCACAAGTCAACCTCGACTACCCCCGTATACTGCAATAACAACCACAGCAAGAAGACCAGAAGTGGCGATGGAGACATAGTCCCACTCAACGCGGGCTCTGCCCCCACCCTGACACCCTCACGGCCGTCGTCGTGCTTGATACCGCGCAGTGACGTGCATGATATCGTGCAGTGTCGTGCATGATACCGTGCAGTGCCGTGCTTGATACCGTGCAGTGCCGTGCATGATATCGTGCAGTGCCGTGCATGATATCGTGCTTTGCGTGCAGTTTTAGCTCTGTATTATCTCATTATACGTATGTTGAACTGTTAATATTATTTTAGCACATTTATCTTTCGCTTTTGGTATTATCAAATTGCGTGTATTTTGCACTGGCAACAGGTAAGCCCTCTGCACCAGTGCCCTATCGTCGGCGAAGACAACATCATCCGTTGCAGTATTTCATGAGTTTCTTGATTGAGAATCTAGAACGGTTTCAAATAACGTAAAGTAACGTATATCATGACTTTTCACGGGTAAGGAATGTTTAAAATAACGTAACGTCTGTATTTCCTGAATTTTCTCGGGTGAAAAAGGTTTCAAGTAACGTAACGTACTGTATTTCCTGATTTTTCACGTAAACTGTATTGCCTGATTTTATTTTTTTTTCAAGAATGGTTTTGTAATAAGTTGAAGGTTCCAGTATGAAGTCTTCAAGCCATGGATCGTCGCCCCGTCGGTGTTCGCAAAGTGCGGAGATGTCGCTGTGTTGAGTACCTTGAAGCAGCTGCTCGCTCAGTCATGGTGATAAGACGTCTCATCAACTAAAGTTATCAGGTTAAAAATCTAACTTGTTTGAAATCATAGTGACCGAGAGCCGTTACGGGTTTGCTGTCGGATAGACGTGTGTCTATAGTTGTTCGGTTGTTAGAGTACTCGGTTAGTCGACATCAATCGTTCGTTTTCCCTGATAATTTGAAGAGACTTGATATCTGATAATTGTTTTTGTCGGCCTTATTTGTAGCAAAATCACATATTCATACGTTTTGTTCAGTTTTTTCTAATGTATTTATTGTTCGTTACCTAATTTTTATTTAATTTATTATTATTATTATTATTATTTTCATTTGCTGCCTCTGAGCACTCTCCGCCGCAGGGCTGGAAAAGTCCTATTTTATCCTGAAATATCGCAGCTCTAATATCATATAATTTTAGTAGGTATGAAATCTCGCGGCTCTAATGTCATGCATTAATGTTTGATTGAAAAATCGCAGTTTGCACTCCGCAAATATGTCATTTCATAAAATTTCAAGCTTCCGTAATCCGCAATTTTTCAACGATCCTGCCAAATATCCGGCACAACGAAACAACTAGTCAACCTAAAACGTTTCTTTATAAATCGCGTAGATAACATTTCATCACAACAGTGATTCCGTTACGGGTGCTGCTGTCGGACGGACGTGTGTCTATAGCTGTTCGGTTGTTAGGGTACTCGACGCCAATCGTTCGTTTTCCCTGAAAATTTGAAATGACTTCATTGACTTGGCATCCGATAATTGTTTTGTGTGGGCCTTATTTATAGCAAATCATATATTCATACGTTATATTTAGTTTTTCTATTGCTACTTATTTTTTTATACCTATTTTGTTTTTTCGTTTGCCGCCCCTGAGTGTGACTGTGTCTGTGTGTGCTGCCATGGCAGATGCGATAGGGTTGGCTTCTGCTGTCAATAGTGTGGCGGCTATTGGCTAATTACGCCCCGGCCCCCGCCGGCCGCCGCCTGCCACTCAGGCTGAGTTCAGAGTACTGACAGTCTGACACTGTTAATAATAGTCTAATAGATGATAACACTCTGCATGCTTCAAATGTTTAAAATTGAGTTTTATTTCAAGTGTCCCTTATTACTCCGTTTCCAGATTAATTCAGGAGCCTTTTATATTGCGTCCAGGCGGTCCAGCACCTTACAAATAGCATGGAATTTTTTTTGGAGATGCCATAGGATTGCTTTTGGCCCCTTGCAAGTTGCAAGGACCTTTAAAATATGCTGAGCCCAAACTCGTTTATGAAATGTTTCATGGTAAGAAGTTATTAACAAAAAATGCTCAAAACCATCCTTTATTACCCCGTTTGACGGTATTGTGTATGTGTTCAAACTTCAAATGCAATCTATTGCATTCTAAAGCAATCTAGTTGAACCTAAGCCAATCTAAGGTAACGTAATGCATTCTAATGTAACCTAATGCAATCTAATGTGTTGTAATTCAATCTAATGTAACCTAATGCAATCTAATGCCTTCAAATTGAATATGATACTTTCTAATGCAATCTAAACCTAAAGTGTTCTTGTGTAACCTAATGCAATGTAGGTAATGCAATCTAATGTGACCTAGCTAATAAAATCTAATATACCCTAACACAATTTAATGTGTCCAAGTCACAAGTGCATTCTAATACATTGTATTGAAATCTAGTGCTATCAAATAAAAGCTTGATGCATTCTAATACATTTAATTCAGTCTATTTAATTTAATGAATTACGTTGGCTTGAATTTGGCTGGAATGATTTGATTTGGGTTGAATTGAATTAGGTTGAATAAAATTGGGTTGGGTCAACTTGGGTGTGGTTGAATTGGTTGGGTGTGGTTGAATTTGATTTGGTTAAATTGAGTTGGATGTGTTTGAATATGGTTGAATCAAATTGAATGAGTTAAATTGGTTTTGGTTGAATATGGTTTGATTAGGTTGAGTTTATTTGAATTGACTTAGGGGGGGTTGAATTTGGTTGGATTGAATTGGGTTGGGTTGAATTGGTTTTGGTTATATTGGGTGGGGTTTATTTAGATTGGGCTGGGTTAAATTTGGTTAGGATGAATTGGGTTGGGGAAGGATTAAGTTGATTTGAATTGGCTTGGGTTGTTATGGCTTGTGTTGAATTGGTTAGGATTGAATTGGGTTGGGTTTGGTTGAATTTGTTTGGGTTGTATTGGGTTGGGTTTGATTGGGTTTGGTTGCATTGAGTTGGGTTGGGTTTGGTTGCATTGGGCTGGGTTCAGTGAGATTTGGTTGGGTTCAGTTAGATTTAGTTGGATTCAGTTAGATTTGGTTGGGTTGGATTGGGTTGCACTGGGTTGGGTTTGGATTTGGTACGTGCTACAGTGCGTAGTTCAGATGGCTAGACTTATGTAGTCTGTTTATTTAAAATGATGAATCACAAGCTGCTTTGTTATCCATCGTCAGTACCGTGAGGCTCTTTCAACTCCAGCACTCAAATATACTCACTTAGAACCAAAGGAACTGCATGCTACATCAAGTAGTTCAGTTAGCTCTGAGCATGTATGCTTGGGTGCCCAAATTTGTGCATATGTGCTAAATTTGAGAGCCAAAGATCATTGTCAATGCTCAATGGCATGTCCATGGATATGGTAATATCACATCAATAATATGGTTATGTATGAATATGGTAATATCATATCAATAAAGGAAAATCAAGTACAAATAACAGAAAATGTCATTTATTCTACTTCTACCTTGGCTACAAAAGAAGAGTTGGACTTCAGAGTACTGTTAGTAATGGATGAGTACACTCTGCATGGGCCAAACATTTTAAAATTAAGTTTCCAAATTAAGTTAAGTTAATTGTTCCAAATTATCCTGTTCCCAGGGGTAATTCAGGATGCTTTTATTTTGCATCTGGCACCTTACGAATAGCATATGGAATTTTTTTGGAGATGCCATACTATAGCCCTTGCAATGGCCTTTAAAATGAGCCCTAACTTGTTTATGAAATGTTTCATAGTAAAAAGTAATTAACTAAAAACACTCAAAACCATCCCTTATTACCTACCTCGTTTGACAGTAGTTAAGTGCAATTATGACTCCCAAAATTTTAAGTTACTTGAAGCCACTTTATATTGACCATTCTCTTCCTGAGCAGGTTAAATATAGCTTGTGGTATTTATAAATATTTGTTTTTCTTCACAGATCAGTGCTTAAGGTTCTACTTCAATTTTTCAAAATGTCTTTAGCTGATGAGCTGCTCAATGACTTTGAAGATGGTGATGATGAGATCTTGGAAAATGAGGTCAAAACTGAAATTAAAACAGAACCCATGGAGGATAGTGAGAGTTCTGATGTTTTCAAAATCCCTTTTCCTGTTGATTCCTCAACATCAAAGATCAAAGGGGGCCTCACCTCAGTGCGTCAGGTAGCAAAACTCTGGGACTCAGATAAGCTTAAAAATATTAAAGATCAGGTTGAAGCGTTTGCTACAAAGATCAGGAAATCTGATGATTTAAAGGGGTCTGTGGAGATGGATCCCGAATATCAACTCATTGTTGAAGCCAATAATGTTTCAGTTGATATTGATAATGAAATAGGTATTATTCACAAATTTGTTAAGGAAAAATATTCAAAAAGGTTTCCTGAACTGGAATCGCTTGTTTTAAATCCACAAGAATATTTGTATGCTGTTCGTGAACTTGGCAATGACATTGACAAGGTAAAAAACAGTGAAGTATTGTGTCAGTTCTTAACTCAGGCCACTATCATGGTTGTGAGTGTTACAGCTTCTGCCACTCAAGGCACAATGCTTACAAACCAAGAGCTGGATTCAATAGAAGAGGCGTGCATGCTGGCACAAGATCTCAACATGCTTAAGATGAGGATATTTGAGTATGTTGAGAGCAGGATGAACCTATTTGTTCCTAACCTGTCAAACATTGTTGGTTCCAACACTGCTGCTAAACTCTTGGGTTCTGCCGGTGGTCTCACTAACCTCTCACGAATGCCTTCATGTTATGTGCTCATGGTTGGCAAAGAGAAGAAGAGTCAACTGGGGCTCTCACAAACCACAATAAAGCCTCACACTGGCCACATCTACTACTGTCCTTTGGTACAGGAAGCTCCTCCAGGTTAGTTTTTTTTACAAAGTCATGTTGATTTTTGAGGTACATGTATGTATGTTACTAATAACATTGTAGTGTTTTCAATTTCTAAGTTTCATCATTCATGAATGAAATTTAAATTTACATTACGAGTCTATCTTTATTGTACTAAATAATTACGTAAATAATGGTGGAGTATTTGCATTTGTTTGGCTGAAATAGATTCATTCTTATTTTTATAGTACTTGTGACATTCAGTCTTAGAATAGATTTGTATTTTCTCGTTATTTTTTCATCTGATTTTTTGAAGCTCTAGGCCAACAAATAATTGTTTGATAATGTAAATCTGTGCAGTGAAGAATAGATTTTGTTCTGTTCAGATTTACGCAGCAAGATGGCTCGCCTGGTTGCCAATAAATCAACTATTGCGGCCCGCATTGATAGCCTGCACGCGTATCCTGATGGCTCAGAAGGGCTTCGACTGCGCGAAGAAATTGAGAAGAAGCTCGACAAGCTGCAAGAACCTCCCCCAGTGAAGGCTGTCAAGGCACTACCCGCACCCATCGACGTGCCAGGCAAGAAGAGGGGCGGCCGGCGCGTGCGTAAAATGAAGGAGCGAATGGCAGTCACTGACTTCAGGAAGGCTGCGAACCGGTAAGATGACTGCACAAAATGATCCTTATTTAGTTCCATTTCAAGCTTTGTGTATTGTTGGCTGGTTCATGTCCATTGTTAAGTGAAATCATTTTCTCTGTCACATTTCGATTGTTTTTCCGTTAGACCTATACCTACCATAAATATCCATTGATTTAAATATGTATGCACCGCTATTGATTTATTTCTAGAGAATTTTCCTTGCTTGGCAGCTATACTCAGTTTATTATATTAATTTTAATGAATATTTCCGTGGCCAGAATGACGTTCGGCGAGATGGAGGAAGACCTGTACCAGGATGACCTGGGGTACACGCGCGGCCAGATCGGCAAGGGCGGCGCCGGTCGCATCAGGAAAGTCACAGTGGACGAGAAGACGCGCGTGCGTATCTCCAAGAACCTGCAGAAGGAGGTAGCGCGGCAGAACAGCTACGCGTCTGGTGGCGCGACTACAGTCAAGAGGCAGGTCGCCGGTACCGCCTCCAGCGTCGCCTTCACGCCCCTGCAAGGCCTTGAGATCGTCAACCCTCAAGCCGCTGACAACAGCCATGCCAAGGCCGGCAATAAATATTTCTCTAAACTCCTCAACTTCAAGAATGTTAAACCATAAATCTTAAGATTGTGCTACCGTCGCCTAAATCCTTCACTTCCTGCCGGACTCATTTTCATAAGAAACTATGTTTTAATATAACACGAGAACGCATCGTGATCTTTCTACCCTCTCTTTGAGATTCTATAGAGATTATGATTCTGATCCGATTCAGTCATCGTTGGTTTGTTGTGATGCGCTACACCTTCCATTGTAATCTAAATTTATTTCTCTGAACATTTTAGTAGGCGTTCTGCATTCGCGTACTACTTCAGCAATATTGGGAGTCAAACTGTGCTAGAATTATGCTTAGGTTTGGCCTACACGAGCCGGACGCAATGCACTAATTTTTATCAAAAATTATTCCAGCATAGTGTTGCTTTAACCTAATGAATACATATAAACCAAATAGTATTAATTCCCTTTCGACTATTTTCTTAAAGATGCAAATCGTTTAGTCGAAAACTTGTATATGTATCTAAATCTCTCTTTTTGTGAAGCCTATGATAATTCTTGCCTATTTTGCGAATACGCGTTCTCTACAGGATTGCTCTGTAGTATAAAGATGCCACCGCGATAGACCATTTATTGCGTACAGCAGACCATTTATTGCAGAAATATTGGTGGCAGTCGTAGTCCGTATCGGGCAGAGAGATCAGTAGTGTCGTCTAGTGTGTCCTGCAGTGAGGTTGTATCCCATGTGCCTCGTTCGGTCAGTCCATGCAAGCTCCTTATATGTGGCTATTTATCTTTCTCGTAGTGCCCTTGCTATTCGAGCATGGAGGTTTTGTTAGAAAGCCTGCCAATTATACATTGTCACGTAATTATTGTTAGGTTTAAAATATACGTAATGGCGTCGTGTTGTCTATTAAGGTGTTTTGATTGAAGTGTGTAAATTATTTTTTTTTTCGCTAATCTCTAATTCACGGCGCGAGCCCGGCTCTGGCTAAATGACCAGTTGACAGCAAAGCATGTTCAAAAGTGCTCAATTCGGCAATACCTCCGGTATTACATTCAATAGGATGTGAAGTGATGCACCGAAACTTTTTTGTTTTTTTTATATTCAACTTACTTGAACGTAGATCAATGGTGTTCATGGTTTGACCATCATGACAGTAATGATCATGACAGCGCGCAAGAGCTTGTTTTCGATCTAGGCAAAAGTACCATGTTTTATTAGATGTGTATTAATCATCAAGTACGTCGCTAAGTGATCATTTGACATGTATCGCATCTGTCGAATAGATGCACGCAAGTGCTGCTCAATTTTGCACCAGTTCAGTTGGTTGAAAAAGGACGTACTAGGGGCAATTCTTCAGTAGCGGTGCAGGCTTAGCCGCCGAGAGCAGAAATCATGGCGTGTTTTAGTCGTCAGCTGGAACTCCCGACGGGAGTGTGTGTGTGTGGTCATGGCCTTCTTGATTTCTTCTCGAGTGTTTATGTAGAGTTTTCATTCATCATAATCACGTTTATCAAACAATTGTGGTCTGATAACTTAGCACGGGCAGAGCATAAATATTCCTGTTGAGTGATCCCGCACCTGACTGAACTTATTATTTTTCAATGGTTTATTTCCAAGGCTGTAACACCTCATCATTTTTTCATAGCTGCTTTCGGAAAACATTCAGCGTATGTTTGTCTTCGCTCGTGGTTTGAAAATCTCAGTCAAGAGTGGCTGAATGAATAGTTTTTTCGCGAGTGGCGGTAAAGCCACCCGCGCCACAATCTCATGCCGGTAAAGTGGTTGATCGATTCAGTTATCGATTATTGATATGATTTGCTTATTTTTTCGAGAAGCTGCCATGACCATTCTTACACTTGGGGATCTGTGACGACCCCTGGGGCCCGGAGTCACAAGCAACAAAAAACTGAACTCTTAATTTGCGTACTTCTATTGAAATTTGTTCAATTTAATAACTCTCGTAGATTTTTTACCAAATTTGAATCTAATTATAGATTACCAGTGCCTTGGTAATCTATAAGTGATCATCCATTATATTGTTCATCTAAATTTAAAGCTCAAACATTTCCAGATGGTAATGGTAAGCTGACGCTTACCATTGCTCATCATAAGTCCCAAACATTTTCACGTGCCTGAAAACGTTGCATTCCTGTCGTCCCGAGCGTACCGGAGAAAACCAGCAAAGAGTGGATGGCAATAATTGTGGGTCTGTCTGAGGGAGCAACTTTAGCTACCTTGAGAGTGTGAATAGACATTTGGAGAACGTGTGAAGGTTCAAGGTTGAGGGAGAAGGTTTATAGTGGGGTCTTGAAGAGTGGGGGTTTGAGGGAGGAGAGGGCTGGAAGGCTAAGTGACCGTGCCGAATGTTTTAGTACATTGTTTCTGTTTTTGATGACATTGACATGTATAACTGAATGTTTCAGTCTATAATAATTGTAGTGAATACTTCTAAACTGAACTTTTTTTAGCTCCCGAGCGCGGCGCAAACTTTAATCCCTTGTTTTTTTGTTTTGTTAGTAAAAGACATATGCCGCGTGGTTGTTGGTCTAAAGGTTTTGACCGGAGATCAGCGCGTACCCCAATTCAAATTCATTCACCAGTTGTGGGTCTGGTCGTCTTAGTCTGGACCCCTTGCAATTCACTCCTGATTAGCCTTTTATTATCCGGTAGAGTTTAATGCTAATTCTTCAAGTTAGGTGTGTTGCTTTCATCCTCCCATGACGTCAAGTGGAGCTGTGCGATTGAGCTTTTCGTTCTTTCAGAGTGGAGTTTGACGTGACCAAAATGCTAGGAATACAAATTTTGATGGGAGGCTGTGAGCTGGAATATAATGAAGTTTATTAATTTGTAAATTGGTTGAATTTTTGATGAAAGTGAAGCACGCCCTGAATTTAGCTCACTAAACGAATTACTAGTGTTACCAGGCCGAAGACTAATATTTACTAATAATATTTGCCTAAGACCGAGGCTAATACGTACGATGAACGTAAATTGATATCCTGTAAAGCAGGCGATGTCTCTTTGATATTTTACTTTAAGTAATTCCCCTCGAGTATCAAATTGGCTGAAGTCATGACATTTCAATCTCACATAGAAGGGAAGAGTCTGCCTGAAATAAAAGACTAAATTACCTAGGGAAGTTTCATTTATATTACAGATTGGTAATCAAATATTTCAATTGAAAATTTTCAGCAGCTGAGGATTGATGTCGGTGCATAAATACCCATTTTGAGCAGAATTGGCAGCCCTGAATGTCAGTGTTGTTGCGAGTGTTGAGTATCCTGCAGCTGCGGGCAGCCTGTCGCGGTATCATCATCCCCACTCTGAGCTCCATCACCTGCCCGGCTACCAAGTTACCTAGTAAGACACTAGCAACTAGCGTAGGAGACTAATTCTGCCCTGTTGCTTCAGCCCTGTTGCCACCTTATTCAACTATTGGCTGTGCGCGTGTTAAGGCCAATCGCTCTCGAGGTGATAGAATAGAAGTGTTGGCACTGAAGAAATAGGTCCATGGCCTGTTGCCGATTCTTGAATTTTTCGTGACTTGATTCGCGAGGGATCCGGCCTTTGGAAGCCGATCTTTCCAATTTCCATAACTGACGATTGATTGAGGTAGCTGCTGGACTTATTGCGAGGCACGTAGGTAAGGTGCTAGGCATTTCAAGACTGAACATATGCTCCTGCATGGCCTTGTCTAGTCTGTTCTTGAAGGCGTTCATACTCGGAGCGTCAACGATGCCATCGGAGAGGCTGTTCCACATGTCGGTGACTCGAAGCGAGAAGAAATGTTGTCGCATGGATGTGTTCCAACGCTGTTTTTTTAGTGTATAGCCGTGGCCCCTGGTGTTGGTTCTTGAACGATTATTTTTTGGCAACCCTAATGCCCGTTGTTTCTTGCGTCGCGTCAAAAAACTATCGTAAGCGGCAGTCACTTGACTCCATCTTTTTATTGAATAATTTAATTATTAACTTCTATTAATTATTTGCCAATGCTGCCTAGATTGAGGATAAGACTTGGACCATATTTGTTAGGTGCCAGTGTGGTCAGAAGGATGAGCAGCGTGGCAGTGCGGCTACTGAACCAGCAGGAGGCGGTCGCGCTCGACCAGGAGCTCTTCACAGCTTACCAGTTCAGCGTCGACCAGCTCATGGAGCTCGCTGGGCTCAGTTGCGCGCACGCCATTGCGCAGGTAAATTTACGGGTGTCATGGAGACAAATTCAGAATAAAGTGATAATTTTTCACTAAATCCCGCGATTATAATCAGTATAAATTTTTAAAATATGAAAAAATTTTCGGTAGGAGTGCCTTCAAAATTTGCCTAATTAACGTGGATTAATTGCAATTTGAATAGTGGCTTGAAAGTTCTGAATTTGTAAAATGAAATTCCTAATAATAATAGGTAAAATCTTGTCCCGCTAGAAATATCCTGCTAGCACACACTCGAAGGTGCTTGTCGCATGCGGGCCCGGCAACAACGGAGGGGACGGTCTGGTGTGCGCGCGACACCTGCGACTGCTCGACTACACGCCCACCGTCTACTACCCCAAGCGCACCGACAAGCCGCTCTTCGATAACCTCGTACGTCAGTGCCAGATGTACGATATTGTCGTCTCAGAGGAGCTACCAACACTGCTTGAGATCGACGGGTGAGAATTAAATTTATGGGCGCCATTGCATTAAAATGACTGTGAAAAATTGTGTAAAAGTGTGGCGCATAGATAGTCGTAATAAATGACCCTATTTTATTACATATCTGAAGAAAACTGAAATTAAGCGTGTGTAACCCCCACGCTTCCTGCTTGGTCTTTTCAGTTTACTCAAATATGATGACAAGTAAGAAAGTTTCCGGTCTCTATTAGGAAGCAAAATATGTATTTTATTTTACTGATTGTACTTGTACTTTAGGAACAAAGTCAGTCACTAACGCTTAGTTGATGACTAATAAAATTCAGAGACAAATGTATGGATGAAGCCTATTGCTTCTCTTGCACCGCCATAGCCACTGTACGACAACATCAACGAGTTATCGAAATATTCGTGAATATATTTGTGTTTCAGGGAGTTCCAGCTGGTCGTGGACGCGGTGTTCGGCTTCAGCTTCAAGCCGCCCGTGCGGGCGCTCTTCTTGCCCGTCATCGAGGCCCTCAGCAGGGTAGGTGCCCCACAACCTGACGGACTGCAGCCCCACACGGGGCGCAATTACTATTTTGGCGCCAAGTTAATATTATGGGACCCAATTACTATTATGGGACCCAATTAATATTATGATACCAAATTAATATTATGGGAGCAAATTGATATTATGGGAACCAGTTAATATTATTGACTCCAATTACTATTATGGGGCCCTTGTTACACACATGGGACCCAGGATCTTTCGTCTATCATAACATAGCATAACATAACATGGTGATCTCGGCGCTGCAGTGTAGGCCTGATGTGGCCTGTCGCCGATTCTTTTCCTTTTCGTGCCTTGTTCACAGAAGATCGAAATCGTGTCATTTGACCGGATCTTTTCATGACTGACGATAGTTTGAAATAGCTACTAGACTTCCACCGGGTTCGATAAGGAGCTAGGCATTTCAAATCTGAACATATATTTTTCCATAGCTTTATCTAGTCTGTTCTTGAACGCGTTCATACTTGGAGCGCCAACGATGTCATCGGAGAGGCTGTTCCACATGTCGGTGATTCGAAGCGAGAAGAAATTGTAGTAATGTAGTATCCTAAAGTAATGATTCGGTGAATCAGGTCTCGGTATGATTTTCTGTACATGTCGTCCAAAAAATATTATCTCAATAGATATTTCATCTGAAACTAAACCTCGCGCTATTTCACGCCCAAAGTCCATCGCTATTTGCACAATGTGTTGAATATTTTCCTGAGGGTGTAACTACGTATATTAGCTCTCCCGCAGACGAAGGTGCCGGTGGTGAGCGTGGACATCCCGTCAGGGTGGGACGTCGAGGCAGGTCCTCCCACTGAAGGCTTCGCCATCGCTCCGCAGATGCTCATCTCCCTCACCGCGCCCAAGCTCTGCGCCAGGAGCTTCAGAGGTCAGTCCATCACACTAGATTGTTTCCTTCATTTTTCGTCTGCAGAAATGAACTCTATTTGTTTCCTTTGTTGAGCTTAAACTTTTCTAGATTTGTATAGTTTGTTGAGAACTTTATATTTTTAAAGACTATTTTAATCGGATTTTTAGGTTAAGCTTAAGCTACCCATTTAAGCTACCACAGCTGTAATGCCGTTACCGTGCGCAGGTCGCCACCACAGCTGTAGTACCGTTACCGTGTGCAGGTCGCCACCACAGCTGTAGTACCGTTACCGTGTGCAGGTCGCCACCACAGCTGTTGTGCAGGTCGCCACCACAGCTATAGTACCGTTACCGTGTGCAGGTCGCCACCACATGTTAGGAGGCCGCTTCGTGCCGCCGCAGCTGGAGCAGAAGTATCAGCTCAACCTGCCGTCCTACCCCGGCACCAACCAAGTCGTCGATGTCTCCGTACAATAGATTGATTACCTCTTCAATATTTCTCTATCTTTTCTGCGGTAAAAAGATCGTCTTTATTGTTCCTGCAGCCTTTACATTTCCGTTCATTTTTAGAATTGGTTAAGATTTCCATAAATGAATTTGGATTACTTAGCAGCAGTGTCGGTCATTGCTTCGAGAAGGTGATGGATTCTTGACTTATTTCTTTCAACAACCTCCGCTATTATGGTTTATACGTTTGTTGACGGTGAGCACGAACACGCGTTAACTTGTAAGCCAATATAGCATAGGGTACGCACACAGTGAAAGCAGGTTGCCAGCGTGCTGGTTACCTGCTCAGGCTGGTGCCTGAAACCGTAGAATACAGAAGCCTATTCGTTCAGGTTTTCACTGTGAACATTTACATTATTATCCTATGTTCATTCTTGTGGCAGGTTGGAGCAGGTTGCCCGCGCGGGCAAACCTGCTTTCACTGTGTGCGTACCCTAACGCTGAACAACTGTCCTGACTGCAGCACAGCTCTTGATGCATTTGTATTATAGGCTCCTCTTTTGGCCGCTTTTATTGACTTTTCGCTGCTGCAAATTCTTGTTATTCTTGCTAGTTTGTTATTTGTCAGGATGAATGGTTTTTTGAGTTTTCTTCTATTTGAAGTACGTTGGCTAAAACCTACCCATTGTCGCTTTCTGTTGATTGATTCTGTTGAATATTGGCAAAACTCGTATCTCAGTTCACGTTTACAAATCAAATTTCTGTCACGGGACGTGAATTGCTCAAAGATTTGGTATTCTATCAAAATAACTCTAAACTTCTATTGTTTCTTGAGAGATACGATTATTATAAGTATTTATGTTGCTATTGTGATTCCAGAGTCTCGTCCTCTAAACAATGTGACGATGTTATTGTCTTTGCAATAGCCTGCTCATATATGCGCTAGCCGTTGAATGTTATTCATATGTAGACGTTTTAAGAGTATTTCATCGTAATCTTGAGTAATCATAAGTGAACTGGAACTTTTGTTGCCTTGATATCGTTGAAATACTTGACGATATTTAAAGTATGAAGCAGCTTAGACAAAGGCGTGCTATTCCTTTCGCAACTGTTCTGCCAGACTCAACGCTGTTTTATAATGGTGTATGTGTATTGATGTCTATCCTATATAGTGACCGGAGTTACTTACCTTTCTCTGATTCCAACGTGATGGGCGAAGTGAAGTCGACCTCTCAAAAGCGTTGCGTAAACTTACCTACATTTTAGTTCAACCTTACCTACATTTTAGTTCATTCTAATAAAAGCATAGTTCGAGCAGTTTTCTTAGATCATCCTATCTATTAATCATGATTACATGCCAAACTTTATTTGAAGTCGAGCGACAGTGAAACAGATCAATGTCAGCGAAGTGCCCGTGAAGCAAATGCCAATGTAACAGATGAATATCAATGAAACGCCCTAGAAATGCTGTTAGTCTTTGAGCCGCAGTGCGTGTCGCATTGTCTGCATTTGTCTGATAAGCGGCCACTTATAAGCCGGCTAAATGAACTATTGTTATCCCGGTAATGGCGATTGAAAATCTCCGCTCGTCTCCTTGATTGTAAGCGGAACTCAGGCTGCGGCCAGTGAACTGTTCTCCGAGAAGCTGCTGGACTTGTTCTTTATAAATGTTATTTTCTTTTGGATGTTGCTCTATTTCGTTACGGCGAGTTATCGTTTCTCTCTTTTTGTTGCGTTGAGTTTTTCCCAGGTTAAATAATTTAGAAATAACGTTGAATGATGATGTTTTCAATAAAGTCTGTCATTTGTGTTGCTGCTATTTTAACCTATTAATTCTAGAGCTATTCTATTTAGGGTCTGGTAACATAAATTCGTATTTATTACTAATGATTCTAACTAATGATAATAACGGCTCTAACTAATAATATAGCATTAGAACATCAGTAGTAGAGCACCAGCAATGCTTTTTTAATGAAAGTCTCGAATAATCGTGCATAGTGCACATCTGGTGTGGAACTGATAAGCACTATTCGAAGCTCTCATTTGGAATGTACTAATTTGTAATCAAATAGAAGCTCAATGTGATCAGCATTTTCGAATCTTCAGGATTTTATAATTTTTCCTCGCTGGATTAATTGTGTATTTGCCTGTTATTTCAATGTGTTCTATCCTGAAAAACTTAGCGCTACTTTTTTCGTCTCCCAAGTATGCGTACCGGTTGTCAGTCTCTGCAGCACCACAACAGAACGTAAATTTTAAATACTAAGATATTTGTTGGTACGCAATATATATGCGCCACTAACGGATAACGGGGCTTATGACTGGGAATTTTTCACTTGAAACGCTCTAGAAAATTTGGTACGTGAGAGCACGGCATGGAGAGTGAGAACGTAACGTGACATACATTTTTGTATTCTTTATTGTACATGTTTAGTCGGAGAAACTTTTTATTTATTATTAGGTAAATCTTAAGAAGTGATGGTAGGAAGTTAGCATGTGATGCTTTCGAGAATGACTTTGATATTTGTTCCGTTACTGCCGATCGCGATCATTCATACAGGAGCACGAAAGAATCGCTCGTTCGCCGTCGCGCCATACTTGGTAATCCTTTGGCCGGGCGCCCTTCAGATTTAGCTTCATGCTGTTTTCTCGCTTGTCATTTAAAATTGCATACAAGAATATTGGAAGAGTCTATAAAGGAAAATTGAATAATTGTAAGTTTATCAGTCGCCCCTACACTAGCAGCCGAATCGTTGCATTGCTAAGTTCTTCAGATGAACTGCATAATTTTATTTAAAATTTTCGAATCAATTGTGAAAATGTTAAGCTTCCAAAATCAATAGCATAATTATGTAAGTTCTAAGAATATAGTACGAGGTAGTACTTGCCAAGTTATCCATGCGATTCGAATGCATGAAAATTAAATTTTAAAATTGCTAAACACCCATGCACTAGTAAAGCTTATCAAGCCACCCGAACAATTGAAAATGCTCACCAAGTCCTTCACAAAGATGAAGGATGCCAAGTTAACTACACAAAGATGAAGGATGTCAAGTTAACTGCACAAAGATGAAGGATGCCCAGTTAACTGCACAAAGATGAAGGATGTCAAGTTAACTGCACAAAGATGAAGGATGCCCAGTTAACTGCACAAAGACTGAGGATGTCAAGTTACTGCAACAAGGTGAAAGCTGCCAAGCCAACTGTATGAAGTCGAAGGTTGACAAAGTACGTGGCACTTGGGAAGCTCATCGCAGCCAAGAACACAGCGGTGCTTGCTTCAGTCACAAGCGACGCTCATAGTGCAGTGAACCACAAGTGTCGGCTCTACGGGTGTGTCGTCTTGGCCGCTTTGAAATTTCCCGTACGATACTCCTAATGCTGCTCTCATTTGAAACTGTAGAATTCTTCCAATTTCGATAAAAATTAATCATTAAATTTGCACTAATTATTAATTAAGCATCAATAATTGAATCAAAATCGATGCTTTACATACAGCAGGTGTAAGTGAAAATGTACGAAACGTACATCTTCATATAAAACTCTCTCACGATATTATTGAATCGTGTGCAGTATTATTATTATTTTTTAAAGAAAATATTCAGAATTTTCATGGGCTTCGTTCTGAAAAAGGTCCGGATTTTCTTAAACATAGTTACGGAACAATTCCCTTAATATCGCAGTGTTTTCTCACTAATAGTAGGACGTTATGTTTATATGTGAGTACGTCTTCAAACTAATGGCGTGAATGCCCACTACTGCTGAGACGAAATAATTGCCATGACAATAAAAATTCTCTAAACTTCTTTGTTATTTTTGGCAAAGATCAATACTAGTGTTTTTCGATAGTTTATCTCAATCTGGGTACTTGGTAAAAAAGTTGCCAGTTCTCAATAAGCGCACTTCGTTTCCTTGCAATAGCCGACGTAGCTCTGATAACAGGTTGGGAACATTCTCTCTGCATAGACAGAGACGCTTGCAGAAGCTCATCTTAAAGATGACAGCTCGCAGCTCAATCTACATACTTAACTCTGGCAAAAAAATTAATCTCGGCTACCCAGAAAGTGAGTATGCATAGAAAAAGGGTATTAGCATGAAAACAGTTCATTAGGCTACTATCTAGAGCCATTTTCCACTTAATGCTGTCAAATATCTACTAATGTATGACGACTAGGTCTTCAACCAATTTCTCATTTTCAGGAGTTAAGCATGATTTCTCACAATACACGTCAGAGAGTAAGATTTAGAATGAGAATAAGTGCAACAGAACATCCCTTTTGTCCTGAGATCAAACTTTATATTTATATGAAGTGCTCATGAAAGTTCGCTGTGAATAACTAATTTGTTTATTTTGTGTAGTTGGACACCTGTTATCACTGGGCAGGACTCAGCAGACCAGCTGAGGGCTGCAGCAAATGCGCACTTGGACATCAGCCAAGGCTTGCTTATTCTGAACGTTACGCAACTTATTTCACAGTCATATACACTATAAGCTTACATTAAAAAAGTTGAGAAAATCCTGCTTCACTATAAATCTAACCTTAGGGTGCTCCACTCAGATGTAATGTATAGCCTCAGTCTAGGATGGATAAAATCATGCTGAACTATTTTGAGGGTGACATCAGTTGAACTATTACTATGTAAGCAGTCTTTTCCCCAGCCATTCAACAATCTAATGCAAAACCCTCATGACAATCCAGGCATTTATTATTCTATAATCATGTGTATTTAAATGAATTTTCAACAGGATGCACGTTATCGTAGACTCGTGTGAGACATCTAATTTTATTCTCGTTCTTTAGATAAAATATCTTATTGCATTTGCAGTCGAACTTGTTTTTTACTGTTAAGGTAGTTTCCTATCCAGTTTCCTTATAATAAGAATTATATAATAATTTTTTCAAAAATGGAAGGTGCTTTGGCTGCCATTAAAATGGGTCATAAGAAGTCCCGAGTTCACATGTGGAAAACGTGCGGTACGTAAATGCCTTAATTTACTTTTGGTTATAAATGTGTTCTTAACTCTTGCGTCCGCTCTTATGAATGATAAGAACGTAGCTTCATCAAGGCCTATGATCTTGTCTAGTCGAATTATTACGAAAATTTGTGGATTATTGATGCATTCTTTGGAAATTACTAATATAATATTGGTTTTTGATAGTACTAAGAATACGCACATTTGGAAAGAGGGCTGCGACCAGAGCAAGGTTAAGATTGTTTAAATTGAAAAGATATTCTTCCTACTAAAACTTATACATGATAGTAAATAGCTACCAACACGAAATAGCTACCAACACGAGCCCTTCGCTTGGTTGGGCTGTTCGAGTCCACAAGTTCCATACTCAGGTCCATTTCCTCGATTAATTGGTCTCAAATAACAAATATTTTATTATTTGATGCAAGATCCGGCATGATCATATTACGTCAATACTTGATTTTGCTTTCTCCGTCATCGGCGACATTGATGTTTTGACGTTGATTTGACTGAACGCATGGCTTGTCATCGGTCACTGACTAACGTGAGCTACCACCCTTCTCGTTGCAGGCTAGCCGACCCAGTCCCTCCCTGACCCCGCGTAAAGCTCCCTTTTCCCTCCCTTTCGTTGTCCCGACAACCACGTCGCTTCCACCATGGGCACGAGACACACCCTAGCTACCATTGCAGCGCACGCCGAGGCTTGCAAGCGGGAAGAGCGGCTTGTTTGGAAGCGCCGTGGTACGAAGTGGTCGCATGCTTGTCGTGCTCATTATAAGTTACCCTAAAAATTTCACGGTCAAAACCGTCACAGTCCCGGCTTATGAATATTTTTTTAATCCTTATCCAAAATTTCACTCATTCTGACTGATGAAAAGTTTCTTGTCTCAGTTAGTTTGAGAAACATTGAAATCTTTATAACCCTTTGAAATGCCGAACAAATAGATAAAATTTGAACATGAGACTGCACTGAACTTTGTACGATGTCATAATTCGGTAAAGTGTCCCAATGAACCCCATGGACTATCCAAAGGTACCCCGGGTCGGGGTACTGAGGGATATTAAGCTTCATTTTGTATTTTGATTATTTCTAATCTATGGAACAGTTCTAATCTTTGCTCAGGTAGTTAGCAATGTAACCAAGGATGTGACGCTTAGTTTTATTTTGAATTTCGTATTTTAAAAAAAGGAATTAATCGTGTTGTTTTTTTTCACTTTTTTTTGTCCCATTGTACCCCACTTTCCCGTTTCCCTTCAGTAACAGAAGAAATGCTTTCTCGTGTGGGACGAGTTTGGCTACCGTTTAGATGTTTACCGTGCAGCACAAGGGAACATGTTAAACCTTTATGAATATGTAAAAGAAAACTCTGAATATTTTTCTTTCTATTGATGTATAAATTATTTATTTTGACTTCATACTGGAATAAATACGAATTTATTAAATTGGGCTCATCATATAGAATAGCCTGTATATATTTCCACTGCCATGTGCAAGATCTCATATCAAGCTCTGCAATGCATCATCGCAGACGACGGATATGCAATGAATTTTTTATTACTATATATACAATATTATGTAAAGCATATAATACTGCCTAATTACTTGTTGAAACTTTAAAATTAATTAATGCCTGGTCACAGACGACGATGAGGCGGTGAGCTTGGGCGCGCTGTTCGCCGGAGAGCGGAAGGAGGAAGATCCGGACCACGTGTACGGCTTCTGGCACTTGCTGCCCGACCTTCTCCTGGAGAAGGTCTACACATACCTCACCATCAGGGAACGGTACTACGCGTCCCAGGTGCTCGTCTCATTAATTTCAATTTTGGACCATGTCAATACATGAAAAGACGGTTTTTATTAGGCGAGAAACTTCAAGAAATTGCTTAATTTTTCTCGGTATAGGTGCTTGTGAAATAGAATACGGATGACGGTGGAAATAAAGTTTTAAAGTCTGAAATGAATTATTTTTAGTTCATTTGAGATTGTTTCAGTAAGAACTGGATGCCAAACTACTTAACGACTTCTTACATATTTTGAGCCCATTATACATGCGACGAATTTTGATTTCTATCAACAAGGTTCTATTTATGATGGATTAATATAATATTTCTTTATTTATAAAAGAAATTTGATGGTTCAAAAATTTCTGAGGATCTTTAAACTATTACATATCACAGAAATTTATTTCTTGCATATTGTCCTATTGCTGAACTTCCTGCCGTACCATTTGCACCGCAGGTATGCCGGTCCTGGTACCAAGGTTTCAACTTCCCCCGCGTGTGGTACACGTTCGTTCTCTACGATAATCTGCTGACCAAGAGAAAGTTCAATTACTATGCAGGTTGGGAGGTAAGGTCACCCAAGCACTTTGATTCAATACCCAGGTAGCTATCTGAATACCTGAATCGTGTAGAAATTATTGCTTTAAGATTATCCATGGCCGTGATACTAATGTATTTTGTTTTCGTGATTGTAAAAATTCACGAAAGAGTTTACGAAGTCAGTATAACAAATGTCGTGCATTGATGGCACCAGAAACTGCTCGACAGCGTACGCGTGTCCACATTCCTCACCAAGCGGGGACCTATGATTCGATCGCTCATCTTCAAACCCATGGAAAACCTGTACAACCTCTACGAGTTCCTCAACCTCTCCCACTATCTCAAGAACAACGTGCCAGGCGTCTTGGCCAATGTCCACACCCTCAGGTAGCGTGCGTATGGTGTTGTGTGCAGGTAGCGTGCGTATGGTGTTGTGTGCAGGTAGCGTGCGTATGGTGTTGTGTGCAGGTAGCGTGCGCATGGTGTTGTGTGCAGGTAGCATGCGTATGGTGTTGTGTGCAGGTAGCGTGCGTATGGTGTTGCAGGTAGCGTGCGTATGGTGTTGTGTGCAGGTGGCGTGCGTATGGTGTTGTGTGCAGGTAGCGTGCGTATGGTGTTGTGTGCAGGTAGCGTGCGTATGGTGTTGTGTGCAGGTAGCGTGCGTATAGTGTTGTGTGCAGGTAGCGCGCGTATGGTGTTGTGTGCAGGTAGCGTGCGTATGGTGTTGTGCGCAGGTAGCGTGCGTATGGTGTTGTGTGCAGGTAGCGTGCGTATGGTGTTGTGTGCAGGTAGCGTGCGTATGGTGTTGTGTGCAGGTAGCGTGCGTATGGTGTTGTGTGCAGGTAGCGTGCATATGGTGTTACGTGCCAGGAAGTCACAGGTTCTACTGAACCTTTTCTTTTCTGCCTGCGATCAAGCCTATTTTTCGTACATCTAATTACACAATAGCTTGGAATAATATATATTACAAATGATAATTATTTCAACCACACATTTATCGTTATCATTTTCCGTCGTCTTCACATGGAAATAAACAATACTGCTAACCATGTTATTTAAAATTATTTGTCCAACAATTACTGGTTTTACACTCTCCTAACATAATCATAAGCATATCAGTCGTGATTTAACCAAGAGTCTGATGGCAGGTTCCACTTCTCATGCCACTTGGCGCACCGGTCTGAGGAGGTGGTCTTCGGCACGGGCGGCCAGACGCTGGCGATGCTCAAGAAGGTCCTAGGCATGCTGACCGAGCTGAGGACGCTCGAGCTGAGAGACCTCCTGCTGGAGGGCAAGGAGGGGGTACATCTTCTCGACGATGTGAGTGATCATGTGTATTATGAGGTGGTGTGAGTGATCACGTGTATTATGAGGTGGTGTAAGCGATCATGTGTGTTAATAGCGGTTATAATAGCTATTTCAGCGTTTAGTAGGCCGTAGGCCTGTCGCAGATTCTTTACATCGCAGAACATTCACAGCATTTTGCGGTCTCGAACTCGCAACTCACTGCTACAATTCTGCTGTGCTTATAACCGCCCGGCCTCCTCGCCGATTCTGACCAGAAACTGGCGCACAGAGCATGGGATCGAACCCGCACCTCTATGCTCCAATCTTGGTACTCTGAACTGTAACCACTTGGCCATTATGAAGTGGTGTGGGCGATCGTGCTTGCCAATTGACATTGTGAGAGATTATGCGCACCTTCTGGTGCTGTGAGAAGGGAATGTTCAATTCATAAAAAAATTGCTATTTATCAATGTTGATTCATGTCAATAAGTAATGTGCGCTGCAGGCGGAGAGCTTCTTTGCTACCGTGATCATTAAAAAAACATGGATTTAACAATTTATATTTTACATGAGTGATTGCGACAGATATAAATATTTTCACGGCTATTCCAATGTTAACAGGTTTGCTCAGTATGCTGCGAGACGCTACGAACTCTCATTCTCATCAACGTCACCAAAATGAGTCACACTCTGCTCCATCCTGGAGCTTTCGTCAACTTGACGATGCTGGTGATATCGCCTCAGGTCGGTGAAGAATTTACGTGTCCATGTAAGATTTCTAATTTTGATGAGTTTGTTGATGATTCAATTTTAACATCAATACGGAATTTAGGCACGACTGACTCAGATAAATGGCAACTACACCCAAAACAATAAAATAGAATAGTTTCGAATCTGGTTCAATAATCAGACTAATGATGAAATACGCACATCTCAGGTCCGCAAACTATTGTGTTTTCGCTTATGATAAAGTAATATATGATATATATGATAATATAATAATGTAATGTAATAAAATCACAAGTTGTAATTTGGAATTCTCGAAGCCTCTTAGATCGTACGTATTTCAGGGCGGGAAATTTTTTCCTTGCAGAATATTGGAGAGGATCTCCTAGAGCTGTTAGGTCAGAGCAAGCTACGCAACATGCACATTCTGCAGAACAAGTACACAGAGAACGGAAGATCTGTTCATTATAAGTCATGGAAGCAATGCCGGCAAAACAACCCAAGGCTCAGGTGAGAGAATCTCTTAAATTTGATTATGCGAAGTTCGTTCTATGCCCGAAAACTGAAAACACTTGCTAAATGATGGACTGTTCCTTTTTTAAGATTTATTTGTACGCTAACAGACTTTTTTATTACTTCTTCTGCATTGAATATGAATCTTTCACTCACGGTTACGAAAGGTAAACACATAATGAAAATTATCGTATTTTCACATATCTATTAAAACGCAATTCGTTGCTTACTGCACCAACAAATTTGACGTATTATCCAAGATGCTATTTGGGCTATTATACGCAATCCTGTATAAATGTATACCCATAAGAATTTAGCCACCGCTTATTCATAATGCTCTCAGTATTGCAAGTATAGAATTTTTCCTTTAGTTCAGGGTAAAGTTCAATTATAAAGTAAACTATTGTGCAGAGTACACCTGAGTACCGAGGGCAGCTCCAAGAAGGAACTGTACTGGCAGCAGCGCGCTCCCGTCAAGAGCATCGTCTATGATTCTCCGTACTCGAAGGTGAGTGGGGCTGCGTATGCTAAATTATGGCTCGAAATCCATTAGCCACTAATTATATATGGGCTAAAAAATATGCGAGCAAAGTAAGGGTCCGGATACGGGTGGATTCAACGACTTGGATGCACGCCATTCGGCGGCGCTCCAACGAGGCCTGCGACCTTTACTGTACGTCCGAAAGACTTATTAAGGATACCAAGAGTTAAGATACAAGGGTTCCTATAAGTAAGAAATGGATGAAGTGGTTGTTGGTCTTACGATCATCGCTATATGATCACAAATCTACTATCAATAGGTCTAATGTTTAACTTGAGTGATGAATGAGTGAAGGTTTACAGTATTGCAAATATATTTAAGTATATATGACCCATGAATGGAAACTCGGATTGAATATCACAAGTATTTCTAGTACATAAACGAGAAATTAAATGGATGAGCACAATTATTTATATCTGGAGTCCAGTGCATCTACCAAGTTGCGGTAAAGTATTCTTTTCCACGAAAATACACTGTGATCCGTATAAGAATACATCACGCTCATAACTTCCACATATATGCTCCGCGTAATTGTGTTAATGATTTCAAAAATATTCCTAAAACATTGTTCTTTGTTTTATGTTCATTCACGAAACAGTTATATTTATTATTTATCATATTAAAATGGTTCAATGCAATTTTTAAGGAAAAATAATGTCGAAAATTTTATGTGTGTTATCTTTGAATAATGAATATGATCAGTCCTTCCCTGCTGCAGATCACAACTACACAGATGCTGCAGGTAGTCGAGTACTACAAGGGAGACCTAGAAGTGTTCGCTCATAAAAGGCTGCCTCGGTTCTACATGCCGCGGTCTTTCCACGACAGAGTCGACTCCTCCTTGCTTCTCCTGGCCAGACAATGCCCCTACATACACACATTGGTAAGCAGGCTGTACTATTCGCTTTCACTTCATTGAACAATATTCGCTATTATATAATAATGAGCTATAATAATGTATTTAAACTTTGAAAGTCGTAATTGGAATTGTAGCTAGAGCAATCCATCATAACATGCAATAACATTTATCTCATAGCAACAAATGAGATAATCAATTGATTGTATAACGATCGATGTGTACCTGCAGAGTATCAGTAATAAATACTACGGGATCACTAGTATAAAGTATTTCAAGCTTTCCTGTTATTTGAAGCGCTAACAATTAGCTCTGTTGCGAATGTCACGGTTTAAATTAAGCGGCAGTGTGCTGGGATCAGGTGAACGGCGAGTGACAACCGATAAAAATAATTAACAGATTATATTGTGTTCTATATCAACATTTTTGGCGAAGTGACAAATTCTTAAAAACTAATTATGGTTCATGGCTCTGGAATTGATTTTTTACAGTAAAATTCTATTTGTACCACAGTAGAATTTATATATCACTCATAATTCTTTCATACACACGATGAGCGATATGCAAATCAACACTACGGCGCCGGAGTTACTGTTAAGCCGCAAAGTAACGTGTCAATTTATACAGTTATATATGAGCGTCATAAATTAAGTTCTGATGACGATGCGTCCAACTCCTACCCTGTAAATAAGTTGATCGTTGTCAATGCGACTTTCATCTAAAAGACTCAAATATATATACTGACAGGAGAATAAGAATTTAGTAGCAAGTAATCAGTTTATAAAATGTTGATTTTACAATATATGATGCATTAATGAGGCTTTGATGATCAGGTAATCAGAGAAAGAATATCTACAGCGACGGTGCTGCTGCTGGCGCACACAGCCAAGAACTTGCACCTCTTCTACGTCAGGAGGAATGCCGTCATTCTCAGAGTGAGGGTGGAGGAATATACAAAACTATCGTTCTGAATAAAATATTTGTTTTTCGTCAGATTTCTAGCAATACGACTTAATTCTTTTATACGTTTTCCTTTTCTCTACTTGTTCTTGCATTCGCAGCATTTAAAATATTATATTGAGTAATTATACAATGCTCCTAAATCATTTTTCTCCTCGCCAGTATACGTTTTAAAAGTGAATACTCATGCCATAATTGGATCGTGATTCAAGCTCGATACTTTTTCAACTGTATCAATTATAATAAATTAGTTGTGCGGGCAGGCTGACTGGCCGCCCCATCCTGACTGGACGAGCGAGTTCTACGAGTGGCTGCGCTCTAACGCCCGTAGCTACAATGCGGTCGAGAGGGAAGTCTCACAGATACTCGGCTACCGCTGGCAATTGATGTCTGACAAGCAGTTCAAACTCATTAAACTGGATCTGCAAGCTTCGTTCTACGCATGCTCGTGAATTCCTGCATCATTAAGTATTAGTAACGGCAGACATTTCTTGTGCACGCCTCCTTTGAACTGTTGAAGCTAGGCAGCTTTCATAATTTAGCGAATGACAATCGGGAAGGGGTTCTAAGCTGAATCTGAAATGAGCGTCAGTTCAAGCAGCAAATATTAAATCTGATAGCACCAAATTTGCTCGGGTGGCCGATTTCAAGATCAGCAAGATTAAGGCAGCTAGCTGAGGTTTCGAAGCCCACAGCTAGTAGCGAAAATTGTGGTCAAAACAGCCAAGGTTGCCGGATGGCTGAGAATCGGCGACATGCCAACATGGCCTAATAAAAGCTGATACCACTATATTGTTATTTCATAATAAACGCTGATACCACTATATTATTATATCATAATAAAGGCTGATACCACTATATTATTATATCATAATAAAGGCTGATACCACTATATTATTATATCATAATAAAGGCTGATACCACTATATTATTATATAGAAAAATTTTGTAACCCGTCAGATTTGATCACCATAAAGATCGATCGGGAAGCTATGGTGAACCTGCATCTTGCCTGAGAATGCCTGTAGAGTTAATGTCTTTCATTTAGAAGTTTCGCATAATTCGATTAAAGTGACGACTAAGAAACAGAAATTTTCTTCCCTAGGATAGAAATTTGCAAATATGTACAATCAGAGCACTATAATTCCCTGTTATATTTTTTAAGTGTATGCAAAACTATGGATGTTGTTTAAGTAAATAGAATTGTTTAATGCATTAAAGGAAAGAAAGAACTATTCTTCAAAAAACTGTGTCAATATTCAGGTAAAGTGGAATCTCCACGTGTAAAAATGCCACGTATAAACTTGGAATGAAAAAAAATAAGATTGTAGACTCGTTCTGAAATTTTTTGGCACCGATTGCAAGTATTTTAAAGCAAAATCTATTCATTTGTCACAAAACATAGCGAGAGAGGCAGATATTTTTGGAAAGGCTGAACCTCCCTCTGAACGGTGGTAGCAAAAGCTTGCCACAAGAGAAGCCCTTTGATCTAGCGTAATGGCATTAGTATTCTTTTTGACCTTGTTGGAACCGTGAATTCAAGTAAAAACTGAAGCAAGACGGAGCATTTGAAATGTTTATTTATTTAGTATTCTTCAACTTGCTTTCAGTACCTAGGACACGAATTTTTTGTAATCACATTGTAATTAACGGATCTTCAAGCTATTCAGAAATTTAAACAAATCTCGAGTTCGCGTGTACTTGTGAAACACGCGTATCCATGATTCAATTACTACTAACTACACCCATGGACGAAAGACACAATAACTTCAAGACGGAAATCCAATAAAACTACGGGTTGGTAGAATTGTTGAATCAACATTGGAGCAGTGAGTTGCGAGTTCGAACCTCAGCTAACTGTGAAAAATTCTGCTCGAAATTTGCGACGTGACCAGGTGGGTAAAAACAGCAAGATTGGTGCAGTGAACTGCTGGTTCCAAACCCAGCTGTTTATGAACATCTTGCTATGTCTAGCATAGGTGACAGGATAGACCTAATTTTCAAAGCTTACACGAAAGGCAACTGCGTGACATTTTGGAATTGAAAATGTGAACTGGTAGAGATTTTGTATTAGATGTAAAAATTTATTTGGTCGTTGTATTAGGGTTTTTACTAGTCATTGTTCAAGAACTGCGATGAGTGCAATGATGACTTTCCTGCTTTGAATGGTCGAGTAAACGCTGGGAAGCCAGGGCGTATCTATTCCTGTATAGGAACTTTGTTTTAAAGAGAAATTTTACCTTATTTTCCAGCTTAGGTCAAATTAAAACCATACGGTGAGTGCTGTAACACTGATAAAAATTTATTAACAATGCAAACGTGCTAAGCTTGTTTATACAACTGTTGTCAAGGACATCGTAACAGCAGCCACATTTGAATCAAATTCCAAGTAAACAGGCACTGAACTGTGAAAGAAAGATCATTCGAAGAAAATTATGGCAAATCGAAAAACTGAGAATTAATCTACGCACATAGAGACAGTTATGTCACTAGGTTCGCTTGATATTTAATTACTCCGCTCAGGACGAAAAACAACAGTCAGAGAATTTTTCAACTGTGATTCGATACGGCGTTACGATGAAATTCATTCGCATAAAGTATTTATAATAATTCAAAATTTTTTGGATTACTTTTTAGAGAATTGAGTTGCGTTTGCACTAAAAGGTTCGCATGATGAAAATAACCACTTAATCAACACGAAACCTTGTACAAATACTGAATCATGTCTGAGATTCGGTGTCGGAAAGAAAAAATTGACTGAACGCTAGGAAAAAACATAATTACCGTCAAGAATATTCTTTATAACCACAATGAAATATAATTGGTGATTATAGTCAAGTGTCGCAAACTACGGGAGAACGTACTTCATTAATTAACTGATAGAAGAATTAGGTAGACATTTGAAATAACATGAGTTCTGGATTAATGAGGAGACAATAACCCTGGAACTAACATTTTTGTTAATATCTACACAGTAGATATTAACAAAAGATGCGCCGATGATTGCGCATTTTGTTAATATCTACACAGTAGATATTATGGATCGTCTTTATTTACAGTGTAATTTCTAACAATATGATGGGATATTTAACCCTTAAATGTTTCTCCATTTATTATTAAAGGAAGCATGTCGGGCAAAAAAAAACTTTTTTTTTATTTACAGACGGATCATTATGAATCTTGGTACACATATGTAAAATGAAAACCAATGACTTTTTTGTTAATGCAAATTTTTCGACAAAATTTAAGAAAACGTGAAATTCATATAAAACGGCAAAAACGGATATCTCCTCCTTCCTAGGATTTTCAAGCTACAACATCGAGAGACATATCGTTCAATGGGTAGAGACCAACCATATCTGAAGATCAACCGGTCATTTTATAAAATTTTTCGTTTTTTTTTCAAGTTTGACCCCTGAACTCTAATATATAATCAAAACAAACGAGAAATCGAAAAAAACGACCGGATAATCTCTCGAGACTTTTTTAAAATCAAATGGTAGGTATATCTCTCAATGCTGCAGCTTGAAAATTACAGGAAGAGACAGATTTTTAAGATGAAAGTTCCTAGTTTTCAGGAGGACCAAACAGCTGTAATTTGTGATCATTGAAGGTATAGGTTTTTTTGCGCTGCGACGGCTGTCGACATGGCGTAGGTCAAGAAATGCGCAGTATTTGGACTATTTGGACCTTTAAATGAGGAGACTAAAAACCGGAAAAGCCAAAATTTTCGATTTTTGACCGACAGGCTCCCTTTAAGTTGAAATAAAATATTCTTGGAGCACCTGATCATTTTCAAACGTAGCCACCTCTCGTCACATAATAGGTCGGCGCATCTTCAAGCCAAGATGACTCCAAATTGTAACATTGATAATACACAGCTTATAAAGTTTTGAAGACTATGTCAGTTCATAGTTATGGAGAAAATGGATCAAAAATAGAATCCATTGGACCTATTTTTCTAGATGCTATTTTAAAGATTCAATGAAGATAAAATCATCTGGTTGATCTGTCTTCGTTTTCCTCCTTCTGTTGACCCTTCTGGTCAACACGCATGTTGCGGGTGCCTACAGGCAAGCGCACCAGCATGCCATCAAGGTCCTTGCGTAGTAAAATTTGACAGCCTGCCCAGTTACAATTTGCATTATTCAAACTGGTTCAGTTATAATCCAATTGTAATTTAGTATTTACTTTGTTTAAGTTTCTAGATTATATTTGCAACAGTAATTGTTAACCACTAATAAATTTTCATTTCATCGATTCTCACAAGAGAATAAATGTAAGTACTCTTGGAGCCAGCCATCGTGACAGCAATTTGGGTGAAGAAAAATCTGATAAGTAATTCATAACAATGGAGAAAAAACAGCTACAAAATATTTTTGAAGCACAAAAATTCATAAAAAGGCATTGGTTTAAGTAACCATAAATGTTGGGTTGCATCAGGTTAATAGGGATGAAAATTTATTTAAAAGAACAGCATGACAAATTTGCTAAATATAAATGCAAAACAACAAAATGTAAAAAATAATAAATTCTCATAAATGAAGATAATTATAAATGTAACACTTCCCTGATTTTTTAATTTCCTCACCAGAAAATATGCCAATACATACGTACCATTGATTAAAAAAAGACACTTACCTAGTCTGGAATTTTCAGCAAGGAATGGAGCCATGTCAAGTAAGTCCTCCTCCTTGACATCAGGCTCATCCAGTCGTTCAAAGTAAGGCTCCTCAACATAGACATGACAAGTGCAGCAAGCTAAAGAGGCTTCACACGCCCCTGCAATGAGTTAAAACACTGCAATGAGAAAAATGTGGTGGTACCCCAAAGGTAAAGAGTTAAAACACTTCACACTTCTCCCAAAGTAAAGAATGTGACTAAAGAAAGGTTACAACAATTATATATTTGCATGCCATAAATGTTTCAGACAATGCAAATAAGTGAAATGTTCATGATAAAGTTAAAAAAACTAACATTTCCTCAGATTATACATACAAATGTTATAAAAATAAAAGAACAATCACCTTCAATATCCACATCATGGAGCTGTGCCAGCATCATGAGGTTGTCACCAACTTTGCCTCGGATGTCAAATTCTATACCATCCCGGTCCACAACTCTAATGTTGACTCTGATAACGAGATTAATAACAAAAGAAATTTCAATACATTGAAAAACATGATTTCAAATACAAAAATTCACAGTCAATATCTTTACTGGAAAATGTTCTTATGACTCTTGATACCGTATATACCGTCTTGATACCATATATGACACACAAATTATAGCAAGAAGAGCATCATTACAACATTGGTATTCAACCATTTTGTTCTATTAGATAATAATGACAGTTTAGAAGTACTTTAGAAATTTGATCAATAGTCATATATATATATGGTATAATATTTGATAAAACAAAATGGAACTATGCACTACAAAAAATATTTCTAACACAGAAACAAGTCTCAAAAACATCACATCATATGTTAAAATAATGAAGAAAGCTAGCATTTGATTTTTAGCAATAAACTGCAATTTTAAAATCACATTTATTTAAAACAAATGAAAAAAAAATTGTAGTCTCAAGTACAAGGTGATCAATATTCTGTATTCTAATCAAGTTCAAATTGAATATTTGTGATGGTTTTTCATATATAACATATATATGAAATTATAAAAAAGAAAATGGCAATGTAACATAATTTGAAATTGTACATAAGCAAATTAAAAGTGTTAAACTTTTTGATGAAGGTATGTATAGTCTAGAAATCTGCAACTAGTTGAGTGGTCCAGCAATGGATTTGTGACTTCATTGTGTCCTTTTTGTATAGATTCACTCCATCTCTATCAATCTATCTTACCATTGATTTTCATTAACAGCAACACCAGTAAATATTTTTTGTATTGATCTTCCATTCATTTTCTAACAATAATTCATCTGAGAAGCTCAAACACTATTTCATCTTACATCTTGAATTTGATGTGATAAATATTGATCATACTGAGTAGAAATGTAAAAAATAGCTATATATAGAAGTTTAATTACTTACACATCTTCTTCTGATTTAGGTGGTAATCGCTCATATTCACCATGCTGCAGGGCTGAAAACAAAAGGGGTGCATAGTTATAGGCTCTTCTTCATCTTGGCCACAATGTGGCTTAATTTGGCTAGATTATTAATTGCATGCTATAAGACTATAACAGACTACTTGATCCTATATATTAATTTTTATGAATAATTATAATTTTACCCATCATTTAATATTAAATCATGAATTTTTGTTGAATTTTTTTTTATCATAGATGTACTAATTTTCTCATATGTACTAATTTTCCTTCTTGGGACAGAAATGGGCGGTATTATTGCAGATTAACTACATCCAAAAAAAAGGGTTTTTTTTTTAATTATATGTTTTTTGGGGTGTAGATTACGAATCTGAAATCCATTTTTGGCGGTCGGCATCGGAAAACCGATTTTTTGCAATAATACCGATCACACGTAGCGCACGACATCTTGAATGAAACTTACCCGTTGCACTGCAACGGGTAAAGAAGACGAAAATGTTACCCGTTGCACTGCAACGGGTAACATTTTCGTCTTCTTTGTCCATAAATCTGGAGATACATTGCCACATCGAGAGATCACAACCTAACGCCAACTCGCAGGTTGGGTTGGTTCGCCCAGGTTCCTTTTAGATCAAAATGCTATCTAAAAAAAGGAACTTGGCTGACTTAACCCAACCTAAGAGCTTTTTGTAAAATTTCGATGAACAATCCGACCCTTTATATAAAGGTGAGTGGGTAACGTAAGTTACGTAACCCCCATGTTAGTAAATAAAGGTGAGTGGGTAACGTAAGTTACGTAACCCCCATGTTAGTAAGTCGCGAAAAAAATCGGTTTTCCGATGCCGACCGCCAAAAATGGATTTCAGATTCGTAATCTACACCCCAAAAAACATATAATTAAAAAAAAAAACACCCTTTTTTTTGGATGTAGTTAATCTGCAATAATACCAAATGGGCTTTAGCATACAATGAGAGAGTTATATATTTGTATTGCCACAGACATAGTGACAAACAGTAATTTTTTAGAATCAGTTCATTTTTAATTTCCTCATTTACTCAAGACTTAAACCAATTTCTTATGTATGATAGGCTAATGCTGGTATCCAGGATACTTTACTGGTCTACTTATAGGACTCAAAAATGAACTTGAGGGAGAGTCTAAAAAACTCTCTGCTTTGCCACTATGCATGATACTTTACTGGTCTACTTATAGGACTCAAAAATGAACTTGAGGGAGAGTCTAAAAAACTCTCTGCTTTGCCACTATGGCCAAGGAAATTGACAGAATTGATTAATTGCTTCAAATACCTTAGGCTATTGCTTCAAATTTAGAAAGTTTCTGCACATTTTGGTACATTTGGTATGTTTTCCTCAAGTGTCTCTTTACTGCATACATGTGAATATGTACTACTTAGATCATCATCACTCACTCACCGTGAGTGATGTTGATCACTCACGGATGTTGATGGCCCAACCCATTTGAGTTTTGATTGACAGCTGTCAACATTTGATCAACAGCTTGATGTGCCGTCTGCACCTTTATAACTTACCAGAATATGTAGTAAAAAGAGCTTTAGAACAGGTTCGTGGTTCAAAATGACGAATTTTATGATGTATTCTTCTAGGTAAAACAATACACCGAACTTTTAAAGAAGGAATGAAAAGATTGTGAAGCGCCCTAAGAGCAGGCAGTGACATTGCCGATGATTGCGCGTTTGTTGTCTAAACAACAATCAGCTGATACATCGTTCCAACTCAGATTTTACGGTCATACGGAAAGAAATAAAACTTGACTTTTAATCCAACGAGTTAAAGTCGCGTTTTTTTCAAACATATAAATTAATAAAACTTCTCCAATAAGATATATCGCAAGAAAATAATTTACTCTAGATAGGGCCGAAATAATCGCCAAAAGTATTTTCATTCGATTCTTTTTTATAATGCCAATGCCAGTTAGCTTTTCGTCATATACCAGTGGAAGCACTTTTCACAAGCGAAAATTCGCGTACTTGAATCCATAATGTTAGATTTTATGAGTAGGATATCATGTTTAGATATTTTTTTCTAGAGTGACCTATTCATGAATGAAAAATCGTTCTGAAATAGAAAAATGCTTGCGTCATGTATGACTGAATTTATGCGGTTCCGAATCGTAGCAAGCGCGCGTGTTTGATCACATTTTAAAAACAACACAATTTATGCTTAATTTACAGACACACTTTGTAAGCTCAAACGAATATATACATGCCGTGTGATTCTAATATTTTAATAACATATTTTTGGCTTATAACCTTCTTATTAATGAGCCCCATGTAGTACTACACAGATAGATGATTGAGTTAAATAACTAAAGGTTGTTTGCATGGATTCAGTTCAAACGTACATAAATGAAAGCAAAAGCAGGTACAAAATGCGCCTTATCATAACTTAATAAAATCCATGTTAATTCACACAGAAACCATCCAACAGCTTTCGTGTTTTAGCTAAGATCAATATATAGTAAAATAGTAGGTAAATTATTTACGTTAAATGTCGTAAACGAATGACTTATTCAATAATTACGGTGAATAATCATAAACTACATTTTTTATGTTTTGAGCATTTTTTAGCATCAAATTACGAATAAATTTTATTATCTCTGTGTCTCTCTGAAATAATTGCTTCAAATCATTGATTAGTTCCTATAATCTTGTTCCCCTGGAAATTCATAATTATTTGTAATTTAAAGAATGATTCCATATGCATATTCATGGCAAATTCGCAGAACAATTATCTCATTGATAGCCTAACATGACCCATTTAAACGATCGACAAGTTAAATATATCAATTCAGGTTAGTCTCTATGCACAAATTCCAAATAATGACTTGTAAATCACAAGGGAAAATGCCTCTTAACCCGGAATGGAATTAATAAATGCATATTTACACATTTTTGTCACGAGAACTGTGAGTAATTTACATTGAGTTAGGTTTTGCATTCGAGCGCGCAGGCCACTTCGCAGCCGAGTTCGCTGAAGTGTCTTACCAGTCAATTTACCGTGGACCCTCATGCTATATGCAAAGCACGAGTTTCTCAAGGCCAAGCTGCAGGTGTGTAATAGGTTACTCGTGATCAGCAGCGGCTAATTTCGATGCCTTGCATCATTAATAACGCTTAAACGGGTTATTTAATGTTATAATAAAATCTGCGTTTTTCAAAATGGCTATTACTTTTATTAAGTCCAATTAAAGTAGCGTTCTCGAGGTTAATGTAGGTAAATTTTTTTTCATTCAAAGAAGAATAACTCAAGAACCGCAAATAAAAGAAAATATTTCTTGTAATTTTCATCAGTTTAATCGGAAATCTGCAAACAATAATAAAAATTAGGTAACAATAAAAGGCTAGAAAAATTTAAAGAAAATGTATTGAATCACTGCATTGCAAAAATTCTTTTAGGCTGGAGTACAATTAACCCTGTATTCATCAATATTGACGCGAACTTCTACATATTATGAAAATGCGAGCTCCCAGGGGTTGTTAGATAACCCGTAGCGTACCCGTACTCAAGTAACACCGGCCAACCAGTTCCTGAAATTCGAAGAAACAAATAAATTTTTGCTGTGATTCATTTGCTTATTCGGCAGCTGATTTCAGGTATGCAGCGTTATACATTTTACCATGCTCATTATCCATCAAACTGCACAAACTTATAACATCAATCCATTAAAGCAGTGAATTCCCACCTATTTTGTGGTCATATTATCACTTCTTGATTCAGTCCAGTGACTGCACCTCACCACACTCGTCGCTTACCTACAAACATACATTAAAAAGCCGTGTGTGTTTTTTAATGCACTTTATTATGCCTAGAAAGCTAATAATGAGCAACTTGTGACTACCAGTTAAAAATTGTTGATTGTTATGCGTTTGGTAGTAAACTTTTCAACACCCGTAAGTATTGAAGGATACACCTCGAGAAACCCCTGTATACCGTTAGTGGCATGCGTGCAAAACTGTAACAGGTTAGGAAACACATGCCATATAAACCGGTTTCGTTGCGTGTAGCAGGCTAGCAGCTCCTTCCAGCTTCCCTTACAACAGTGGTTCCCAAACTTTTTCAGGCTGGCGCCCCCTTTGGTTCCCTAGTGAATTTCTAGCGCCCCCCACATACACATATAAAAACATACGCCTCTATCTTGAAATCTAGTACGCTGCAATTTTAAAAGATAAAGGTTCAACACAAATGTGTATTTCACAATTAGAACCCATTTAGAGAACCAATATGTTTTTCATTTGTTTTAACTGTTTCAGCACTAGAAACCAAGGACGTCACGGGCGAATTTACGGCCGTACTCGTGGCCGGTCTCACGACCAATCTCCAAATTCAATTATCAAGTAATATCTCCCAAACTAATGAACGCAGCTCTATGAAACTTGGAACACGTATTCATCAGGACCTAACGGTGTTGTTTAGCTGGTAATTTTTTTAGTTTTCACCTTCATTCGTGAGTTACGCGTATATTGCGAAACAGGCCAAAATTCGCAGTGATAAATTCGCCAAAAAAATTTCGAAACTATTGCACAGATTTGAACGAAATTTTGAATATACATTCCTAACTACCAAACGGTGACTTTTTAGCTTATAAATTTTTTTTCGAATTTACCTTCGTTTACGAGTTTTTTTGTTCATTTCACCGTCATTCTTGATTTAACACTTCCTAATATTCGGCTCGTATCGCCGGTTAATTTGTCACTTAAATTCGCTGCGATCAAGAAATTTCTTCTAAACTACAGAACAGATTTCAACGAAACTTTGTATATAAATACCTAACCTCCCAACGGTGATGTTTAGCTCGCGACAATTTTTTCTATTTTGCTTTCGTTCGCGAGTTATACAGATATAGGAGGAACGACCGGCTTTTCTATCGGCCGGTTTAACCAAGAGCCTCATACGTATAGCCGTATAACTCGCAAACGAAGGCAAAACGAAAAATTGTAAATATCACCGTTGCTGAGGTTAGGTATTTAAATACTAAGTTTCGTTCAAATCTGTTCAGTAGTTTGGAAAAATTTATTGATTATTGCGAATTTAAGCACGCATTGCTGTTTAAATCACGAATGAAGGTGAAATAAAAAAAAAACTTGAAAAAACGAAGGCACAATTGAACAAATTTTCACGAGCTAAACATTACCGTTCGGTAGTTAGGACAGTAAATTCAAATTTTCGTTCTAATCTGTTCGGTAGTTTGAAAGAAATTACTTGATCGCTGTGAATTTCGGCCCGTATTGCCACATAACTATAGCTAAAACAAACGATAGTAAAATTAACACTTTTTCACAAGCAAAACAATATCGTTAGGTCCTAATGAATACATGTACCAAGTTTCATCGAATTAAGTTCATTAGTTTGAGCGATATTCCTTGATCATGAATTTGAGAAATTGGCCCTGAGACCGGCCGCGAGTCCGGCCGTTAATTTGTCAGAGACGTAAACCCAGGAGAGGTTAAAAAAACAGATCTGGGTGAAAAAACCATCGCTGGGAGTCGTGTGCTGCACGTGTTGTGTACAAATCGTAAAAAAACGTTCGAACTTCTAACATTGACTTCGGACTACCGCCCCCCTTCAGCTCTCTTCTTCCTTACCTCCCCCCAAAATCTTTCCACCGTCCCTAGGGGGGCGATATCGCCCACTTTGGGAACCACTGCCTTACAAGAAGTCTGTGCCGAGGATACAAGACACAGGATACAGACTCATAGGTGTCAAGGTTACGATTTTTTGCAAGGATAATCTCCAAGATTAGTTGAATATAAACTGGTTCCATTCAAGCTATAAAGTGGAACAGCAAGATGGAGTTAAAATTTTAGAAACAATGTTTCAATATATTAATTTAAACTATAATTAATAATGTCAAATTGGCGGATTTAATTACTTCTTTCATTATAGACTAATGCGACCGGTTATAATTACTTCTATTGGTATTATGGACTAATCTCAGCCAATTTCGTCGAGACAAGAAGTATACTTAAAGCTTTAATAATTAATCAGCTTAGATGGAATATAGATTCATTTGAAAAACTGATTAAATTGAAAAATACATTGATGCCCAACATGGTTGAACTATATACTACTACTTCATCCATGGATGCCCAAAACCATCGACGACGTCAGACTCGGACTCGGGTCTCGGACTGTAGTCGGACTCGGACAACAGTTTCAGTTGAGTTAGCGCCTTCATACAGAGAGGTTAGGCTCGTGTTAGTCCCTCTCATTAGTCATTCCTGGTAGTATGTTAGGGGCACAGAAACGATCGAAGGTGCATCGTGCATGAAATGCTAATATCCCTTTATCGTCTATCGTGAAAGATACCACGGACTATTCCGTCTACATTCATTTTTACCCTAAAAATGATAAGCATGTTTATATTTTAAATGCAAGGTTATGCGTTTCTCTACTGTGATGAGTCCTGCTTCGAGGCAACGATATTTTTGGGAAGGATGTGCCGTGTTGCTGATCATTGCGACTATTGGCGTAGCTGCTCAAGGTGAGACTACGGTCTACGAGTAGGTACAATTCAGTGGAAGATCGCTGCACTCTGCATAAATTTCTTCCTTGTCGATAATATTATTTCTTCTTTACTTGTTTTAGTTGTTTGGAAGAATCTACTCTATCAAAATTCTTCACAAAATTAAATGTACGGAAAATCTATAAATATCATAGGCATATTATGGCGTTTCGTATTAGGCATATGAATACTGAGTAGGTAGTTATACTTCAAAATATTTCACCATGTTAAGTTTGCTTCATAACATTCCACCTTTAACCCAAATTTAGTCCCCATGTTGATGCGTTGATGATTATAAGCAGTAATAAATAAGTAGATCGAGCTTGACAATCTAGCATTCGAGTAGCGTCCACAACTCCAGTCTCCAGCAATAATCGAACTGAATCGATCACTTACCTTGCTTGCAAGTTGTTTTTCACGGCAAACAATAATCAAATTTATTGTCGTTGTTCTTTGCGTCACTGGGATGAAACATTATGACGTGAATTTAAGTTTAATTATTAAACTCCAGACACAAGACAGTAACCTAGATTTTGACATTCCATAGCTGAATTAATTTGTGGACTGCGAAACCCACTGAAACTTCTATACATCCAACAGTGAAGTGAATAGTTATATTAATTTCATAACTCAGAACCGGTAACGACCTAATGGAGTGGAGCACACAAAGTCCGCAGTGACGATTGTTAGAATATCCAATTCATACGTGATAATGATATAACTTTGATAGGGGAGGAAGTGATGATATAACAGCACTTCCTGATGATATAAAATCACTTCCTATAACATCACGAGGAAGTGATGATATAACATCACTTCCTCTCCAGTTCTCAAGGTCCACTTCTCAAATCGTCACACGACGATCTTGAGTTTATGTAAATCGTCTTTGATTTGTTTGAAGTGAATGTTGAATTTCCGTGCTAAGCATCATTGCCCTTTTGTATGGGGATGCCAAGTTCTCGACCATCGTAAATTATTTTCCCAAATCTGCTGTGGTTGGCTGACATGTTCTTGAGCTACCGCGTTGACATTTGACTGCTCGTCTCAGGTTCGTGCAGGATGGACGACGGCGGGCCGGGCGAGTGCATCGAGCTGCTGCAGTGCCAGCAACACGTTAGCGTCATCACTGTGAGACCCTTTATTAATTTGCAGCAATCTCATGGAAATGAAGACCATACTATCGCAAAGAAAATTATTACTTATTAATATTGTTAACTCATTAGCGACCTCAAAATTATTAAAGTTCTTTCGAATTTCATCATAACGAATAAATTGTAATAGATAAAGCTAATAATACAATTTGTTTACATTGATGTATCACTGTCTCAAATACTTTTTTTTTCTTTTCTTGTACTAGTATTATTCGTGTTATCAAAGAGCTCACTGTAAATGTGCTTCGAAATTCGGAAAACAAATGGGTGACTATGAAAAAACTTTCACATTATTTGAAAACTGTTGAATATAAAAAACCTTTCACTTTATTGGAAAACAAATGGTTGAACATAAAAAAACCTTTCACATTATTGTAAAACAAATGGTTGAATATAAAAAACCTTTCACATTATTGGAAAACAAATGGTTGAATATAAAAAACCTTTGAAATAATTGTAACATTTGGGTATGATACGGGCAGGCAATCAGGTCCGGCCGTGCCCCGACGTCAGAGTACGCGCGACTACGACGTCTGGTGTGCGCCATCAGAGCAGGCAATGTACTGCTGCTCTGCTGCCCTGCTGGTGGGTGGCCGCTCCTGCGCTCTCATGTGTTGTTTGTTTTGTCGGGGTTTCTTGCCTGTTTGCTGTGTGTTTGTTGTGTCTGATTGCATTTTCTGCATTTAGTAACTTTTTTAGCGTCCGTCCGTGACTTTACGCTTTCGTTGACGAGAAAATGCGCTCTCTGTCACTCACTGCAGTGAGTACTGAGTTATATTTTTTTTTATGTCTGTCGTGTGTTACGTCGAAAATGTATTACATTTTTAGCGCATTTCATTGAAAAAATATAACTAAGTACTCACTGCAGTGAGTGACAGAGAGCGCATTTTCTCGTCGACGAATAAGTGGTCACGGACGGACAGACGGATGGACATGACGAGCACAATAGCGCCTTTTTTCCAAAAATGAGAAAATGCGCTATTGTGCTCATGTCTGTCCGTGACTTCACGTCACGAACGGACGGGAAAATGCGCTCTCTCTCACTCACTGCAGTGAGTACTGGAGTTACATTTTTGTGTTCGTTAGTCGTGTTACATGAGGTCTATTGTACATTTTTGTACAATGGACAGGGATTTTTTGTCCCTGTTTTTCGCACTTGAGTAGTGTGTTAGTTTTCCGTGATTATGTTTTAAGTTGCTTTTTAATAAGTTAACTCCTTCAGTCATGTCTGCCGCTCCTGCTTCGTCTCTTGAATGTTTGATCTCGTCTCTGTGTTCGCCGTTACGTGGAATAACGGACATATGATTATTCACTCATCAACGCTCTTTTAAACGATTAATAATTTTGCAGTTCTTATAAATATCTGTTTCTTGACATTACTAATACAGGGTTTTAAAATGTATTTAAGTTTGCTTGGAATTTTCACGTGATTGAAGTGCAAGTTTGTACCACATCCCACACAAGGGTGACCCTTTTTAGATTAACGGTGTTTGTTGAAAACAAGAATAATGAATTAATGATGGACGGATTTCTATGGACTTTATATATGACATTAATTGATGAGTTTTCAACAAACTTTGATGATATTTCACTCCTTGTTTCTTCGTGTAGAGACCTTCACGAGTTCGGTGGGCGCCTCTATTTTTCAACCACCCACACTCGTGTTAGGGCGACAGCCGACATCCGCAGGTTAGCGTCTAAATATTCGTTCATTATTGAATAATATTATATAATATTATTCGTTCACTTCATTATATTATTATAAATATGTTCTTTCATCCAATATTGCTTTTTTCAGTACAAGTTGAACGCGTTGAGTATGGAAAAGTTAATGATCTTTAATAATAATAAAATTGTATGAAATGTATCATTGATAATAACATAATTGAAGACATGTAATCATAGTTAATTAAAAAATAAATTTCTCTAGTGTAGGGTTTGATTAGTATATAAAAATTAATAAATGTAATGTGTGAATATAACACAATATAATTTCAATGCCACCAGGGCATTATCTTAGACATTTGTGCATGCACTTTACAAATGAAGCTAAAACGTCTTGTTGATTTTAATCATTGGCGAAAGGGCTTATAATATACCCTACAGCTTCAACTATGCCCCATAGCATATTCCTTCTCTCAGACTCTCAGTCTTAACTTTGAAACCACTTGATGAAACCAACCTATGCTGCCGACGGTTAAAATTTTCGAAATTGCGCCAATAATATTTAATATTAAATAATAATATACAAAGATCAATATGTATTAATATTCAAAGATCAGCACGAGAAATAATTATTGCTACAGAATCTTTGCTGCCCAGCGACTGTGGGCTGACGGCGCAGCCTGACAGGATCGTGGGGGGCGAAGACGCCTACGTGGGTGGCTGGCCGTGGATTGCCATGCTCTACGGCAGCCCGAGTAAGTCAGTCAATCAGTCAGTCAAGTCAGTCAATCAGTCAAAAGTAAGTCAATCAGTGAAAAGTTAGTCAGAAGTCAGTTATTCAGTCAAAAGTCAGTCAATCAGTCAAAAGTCAGTCAGTTAGTCTCGCCTCTACACGGACGGTTGGCCGTGGATTGCGATGCTGTACGGCAGTCCCAGTCAGTCTCTACCGCCCAGTGAGCTCGCTAGTCTGGCCCTAGCAAAAAACTCCAACCTTGCATGATGCTAATTAAGAAAAGCTGCACCTTCATTCAGATTGTGAGCATTATAAAGAATCATCAAGAGAGCATTATAAAGATCATGAACATGGCACATACCTTAAACTTTTAGATTAAGAATAATCGTTGCATGGATCTCATAGCTTTGGCTTTGAGGCAGCCTAATTTTTAATTAGTCGGTGCAATGCGATTCCTATGGCTAAATTGCAGGCATTCATTTTCCCCTGGTTTCTATAAGACTGAACATTTTGTAGGCGTGCAAAGAATAATGATATGAACACGTACGAGAGAAAGTTTCAATGAGTCAAGTTTCTGCTTTAAATTTTTAATATTACTCGGTATGATTAAAAATTAACGATTCCACGACCTAAAAAAACGAGAATTACTCATATAAATACTTATAATTTGAGTACATTTGATTTAATAATAATGTTTTTTATTGCAAACGTGCAGCTCCATCGTCCGATAAATTGTTCTTCTGCGGCGGCTCCCTGATCACCAGCCGCTATGTGCTCACCGCCGCGCACTGCATCTACAGAGGCGACGTCTCGACCATGTGAGAGGCAGGCGATGTTATGTGAGTCATTATGACATACGCATACAATTGTGCGTGCATAATGACGCTAATATGCGAGCAGGTGGATGGAGTATAAGAAATAGTTCACGCTCCTGCGTGTAAATGCTAACCACCGTGTTATACATAAGCAGAAGAGATGCCGAGTCCGATCGAAGGGATGTAAACCAGTGTTTCATTAAGGAATAACTATAGTTCGTGAAATTATAATTATCGAACACTGGTTCGGTTGCATCGATTCTAACGTTCTCATTACGTACGGAAGTTTATTTTAATTTTCTTCTTATTTAACTCTATTGCAGTTAAAACTTGATTGGACTCCTTGACAGTCGAGTTCATATTTACCTTATATGTCAAGTATGAGTTAAGTGCATTTCAAATTAATAAATTCGTGTTCCTATTGAAAGTTTAGCACATCTAATTCAGAGTTTGACCATGATTTATTGATGACACAGAGACCTAGTCCGGCTGGGAGAGCACACGGTGTCGCGCGACATCGACTGTGAGAACAACGACTTCGGCCAGCAGCGGTGCGCTCCGCACCCACAAGACATCCGCCCTGAGAGCGCCGTGCTGCATCCTAACTACGACCGTCCTGGCTGCCTGCGCTGCAATGACATCGCCCTCATCAGGCTCTCGGCCAACGCTCGTCTCAACGGTCTGTCTTAATTGTCACCAGTAACTGTCACATGAGTTATTCAGGGTGAATTGCATAGAAATCCTTCTGAAGGATAATAAAATTCGATGAAATAGTCAAGGTTTGCATTTATGTCTTAATATGAACGCGTCTCTTTCTTATGCATGGAAACAAGCATCTAGTTTCTTGACATTGAACCAAAAGCCTACGGCTCTCGATTCGTTAGGGGACAGCAGAGGCGCTTAAAATTATGAATTACAAGCCATTCATGGATATTCTAAATTATTCACGTAAAGCTTTAAAATTTTTAACACAAGCTACTGATTTTGTTAAATGTCATTGAAGAATTGCTTACTTATTAAAATTCTTTCACTTTTCAATAGGATTAAAATTCTCAAGAATGTGGAAATTTTAGGTGTAAATACCCATGGACATCCACTGATTGGCTATAATTTCATTAACTAATTCTTGACATAAATTTCTCTCGCTGAGGCGAAGATGAAAAGTCTGTATTTTGCTCAGAGTTTGTGCGGCCAGTTTGTCTGCCTATCAACCCAGTGCAGCAGATGGGGTTCGCAGCGAGCGAGTTCATCGGCAAGTTTGGATGGGCAGCAGGCTGGGGAAGTGTCGGCAGATGTGAGTAATTTCAGAGACCGTTTTATGACTTACAAGAGTGAATGTTACGCTAATCTGTTAGTACTGAAACGTTACGTAAACTTTGTAAGAAAGATCATATATTTTAAGCTTGAGTGATAAATATGCCATAGTTTGTTTAATGTCACATACGGTAGCTAGCATAGAGCATAGCGCAGCATAATAGATTTTTGTTAGAAATTGATTTGAATCTAGAGTTGAAATGTGAGAAAAACGATAACTGGAGTATACCAACTATTTGATCTGAATTTTAATATGAATTTAGTAAAAAATATACTGAAATCATCAACCGAAATGGGCAGCCCTATTCGACACGCGCCAACCCGACGTGCTGCAGCAGGTGCAGCTTCAGGTGCTATCCTGCAGTAGCCCTGGCGTGCTGTGTGCGCTGGGGCCTGGCAAGGACACCTGCAGGGGAGATTCTGGGGGGCCCTTCGTCCTCTCCGACAGTCGGGGTCTGCGGGTTAGTGCTCTCTGATTATGCGTTCGAACAATTTCAGACGAACATTGTGTCGGTAAATTTGCTTAGTCCAGCAATTGAATTTTCCTGAATTTTCTTCCCGTTATTTTCAGTTCTTCCTGGTGGGGGTGACGTCGAGCGGGAACGTCGTGTGTGCTACGGAGGGCGTGAGCACGCGCTACACGGCCGTACACGAGCACATCCCTTGGATCACGCAGACCTTGCGACCGTAGCACAAGTCCTGCGAGACGACCGCGATACTACCGTGTTGAATCGATGAACTTTAGAAAAAATATATCTCAGTACTCACTGCAGTGAGTGACAGAGAGCGCATTTTCTCGTCGACGAAAACGTGAAGTCACGGACGGACAGACAGACGGACATGGCGAGCACAGTAGGTAATTTTTTTTTTATAAATGAGAAAATGCGCTAAAAAGGAGGTTAATTTATGGGAATCAAGTTTGAAACACTTTTCACAACTTTTGAATAGTGTTGATTGCTATTTCGGATGAAACTGAAAAAACATCATTACTTTAACATCGTTTCGATGTTACGAATCAAAATTGAATTGTTGTTCTTTTTGATGTCATTTCAACGTTCAAATAATTACTGTAAATTCTTGCTGATATGAAAGTTAGCACTGAAAATGGAAGCAATGTCACAACTTGCTGATGTTGCTGTGCGATGACTTTTCGATGTTTTGCTTATTCCTATGAAACAGCGTTAATTCCGTAGCTAAGAATGGTAATAAATTAATTCTCTGTTCGCTCTTAAGATTACGGCCGGTATGACTTGTTCTTCGTAATTATGCAGCATTGAAAAAACATCGGAAGTACGGTACGCCATTGTAAGAAGCAAATAAATTCACCCACATATAACCGCGGGAGTAAGGTCTCTTCTCCATACAGAGATTTTAATCATCGATCCGAAGTTCACAAATATGTTATCGTTCCTAACAATTGAGGAATAAGGCTGCATAATTTCTTAGACTCTCTCACGCTATGTGTTTCTCGACATTGATGCTCAATATTACTGTCTAAAACTCAAAGCAACGAGTATAAATAGTGCTCAATTTTGATGATTATGTGACCGACGTTGTAAAGGGTGATAACTTCAGTGCAACGTTCGACGTTGATGTTATTACGTTTGGTCCAGGATGTTTGATCAATGACGTTTGGTTAATGCGTGGGAGCAGGTGTTGATATACGATTTTTCGTTGCTCAAAAACACCGCTCCTCTCATTACAAGGATTTTTAATTTCGTTTTGATGCTGTCAGGCAACAGTTAGATTAAAAGAAAGTGAATAAAATCAACTTCCGATGAAATAAAACTGAAAATCGTTGAGACCTATTTTAATCACTAGTTCAACAATATCAAGCTTTTTGTGACGTTTCAATTATTCCGTGTCTTCCTATGCCAAACCGTTGGGACAGTCGAGTGCCAAAGTCTAACAGAAAATCAACACTTTAACACTTTCTCACTAAAGTGAATAACAGTGAGACTCGCGAAGCAAAGGTCGAAACTATTCGGAGATTTTCGATTTATCATATATTTAAATTTATTCTGATTAGTTAGTTTTTCCTACGAGGCTTCCCTGCTAGTTTAGAATATTAACTGTTTCCACTATACTGGACGCAACACGTTACTTCGACCTGAAAGAGCTATATTCATTTATTGACTATCCCACAACGGAAAAATAAATAGTTTCCTATTTTTCAAGCTCGCTTGAAGCACTGGCATTTACTATTACTTAAGAAGATTGATCACCTCAATTATTTTGTTCGAACCAGAGTGATTTTTGAACATCACATCATTTTGGCACTGATTAAACTGAGGCAACTATAGCATTACTGTAGATATTATTAAAAGGTTACGAAAAATCACTCAGAGGTTTGGCAAAATTACACAAGATGTTGCACGGAAGTGGCATAGATGGAACGTAGAACAGAGCCTTGCAGCAGTGAATATAGAACTTTATTTTCCCTGGCATTTTTGGTACATTTTATTAGTAACCTCAAGTACGATGTATTGTGGACTAAATATCACCTTCCGAAACCACTAGTATAAAGTGATGTTAGCATTGTTCAGGAGACTGGCTCAATATTCAGCTCTGTCCAGAACGTGAACGAACAATCGAGCTGAGCTACGTACTCTCTCTTTAGAAGTAAAGCTCAATCTGAAAAAGTTTAGTCGTAGTTGGGATGAAAGGCCATAGGACATAAATACTAAGGAAGAACAACAAATCTTTTACTAAATTTCTATGAGAAGCACGAAAATAGAATATCACAACATCAACAAAATAAACTCGATGGAGTACAATATCATTCAAGAGATTCACGTATAGAAAACAAGTCTGGTCTTCTATCAAGTCCCTGGTCTCACAGCTGACTCAGTGAACACCATCAATGAACAGCCGATAATGAACTGTTGGCACTGAAATGCCGCTTACAGCATTCAAAATGCAAGATTTCCATTCATTATTATCGACATTTAAACAAATTAAACGTAGTTGAGATTTCAGAAGTGAGGCTCTGTCATAAATAAAGTTTTTTTCTAATCTATAGCAGACACACGAAAGTCTATTTGACGAGACAAAATTCATTACGGTCTCCCAGGAAAATGCGTAATAGATATATTATATTCATTTGAAACTATTACTAATTCATGTTGGACTAGTTGAACACTGTGAATTGTGACATTGATTGTAAAGGTGTAAATCAGGATTGGCGAAGAGATAGGGAGTTTCAGCGATGTAGTTAACTATGGTAGGGTCTGGAGCCAGAACACAATTCAAACCCATGATGTTATTTCACTACCAAACGACAACACATTCCCCTCTTAAACAGCCATGCAAAAATTGCTTAGTTTTGCACTAAGTGTGCAATAAAGTTGGCACCATTCGTCGAGAATCTCATCAGAATACACGCGCATATTTCCCAACAATCTTGGTCCATTTCGCATGCGGATTGGACTGCTAAAAGCAAGCAAGATGGCCTCGAGCTCAATAGAAATGTTCTCATCGTCTTTAAATTTCTAATTTTTAAAAAATTTGACACATTTTGGCAAACATTTTATATTTTTGGTAGACTTTCATATTGCTCTCGAGCAACTTTTTTTCTCCGCGCACACAAATCACAGCTGCTAAAAATCTTAACTTTCACATCTCGCCTACAAAACTTTGTCTAAACTGTACGGAGCATGGGCGTAGTACAGCGATTCATCGAATTTCCGACTTCCAACAACCGAACAAACGCGCATTCCCAACTTAAACAAATACAAAGCAAATTAATTAAAAGATAGCTCTAGCTTGGCACAAACTGAAGGCATCACTAACACAGGATAAGCTTGTCACTCAAACGAACAATCAACACATTCAAGAAAAAGCGGGTTGGAATAAGCGTAATGCGTCTCAAGGACGAAATCATTCTTAAAAAAGATTATCAATCAAACACGCAGTCGTGATACGCACGATAGAGAGCATAATCGGACGCAATATTTATTTATGAGAACAAAAATTGTACAATGGCTACTGGTCACGTACCTACGCTAAATAATTAACTACACAATGGTCGGAGAAACGTCGTTTAGAAGCACGATAATCGCGCCCCACTAACACTCGTATGAGATTGTAAGACAACAAAGCTTTCGCATTCTTCAATCTATTACCTAATAACCGTTAAACTTAAGGTGAAAAAATCCTGCCGAGCGACACAATTGTAGAGCTGGATCAAAGCTTGATTTTTAATAATAAATTCAGACCATCTTATATGTTCAGAGGCAAGTGGGTCAACACTAGGCAAACAAAATGAAGAATGAATCTTATCCAAATCTCATTACCGTAACCAAAGCTTAAAATGTGGACTGACGCACACGTTGACCTGACATGAGAACACATGTCAGGAGGGCAAGGAGGAAAACATGAGCGTAATGTGTCGGAGCAACTCAATGCAAGCTGAGACGACTAAAGATCATAGAATAAAGATAGAAGAAACGACATAAAAACGCTGAAAATAGTCTAAGGAAGTTACATAGTATCATAGATCACTGAAAAATTCACCTCCCGAGTGATTCAGATGCGCTATAAGCAGAGTTGTGTGGTGGGTTGACTGTATGTTGACAGAGATTTATTGTCTGCCAAGATACAATAGGAACAAACAGAATATAAGAAACGGACGCTGTTGTCTGAAGAATCAAACGGTCATCTACAAAGTCAGTAACCCAGGGCCACCACGAAAATATCTTTGTGAATTTACATATTTATGGCTATGGGAAAATTTCTGGCATCGCTTGCTGCGTAATACTACACTATATTACTTGGCTGTTTTTTACAAACGTAAAAAACATCCCAGCAATTAAATAACAGCCTGGCGAGTAGGAAAAAACTATAGCAACGTGACGCTAAGAGCCATCAGGACTTGAGAGGCTCCACGTAGATCCACGTGAAGAGCCTGCGCAGCTGCACGTCCAGCACGCGATACTTAACAGAGTTGAGGCCGTCTGAGGAGAAGCGCTTCTTGCCCGAGTACAGCGCCTGGTACCTGCAGGATTCATCATGTTTATATTATTGCAGGTCTTGCAATAAAACTTTAGGCGGAGCTCAGTGTCTCGATGCCTTAATATTAAGTACGTAGCACACATTGAAAAGCGCGAAATAATTCAAGTTACAAATGTCAAGTTGACGTATCATATAATTTCTACCGAAGGCTCGAAATGAAGTTTGTGAAGCTATAAATTAATTGTTTGCGTACATGAACGTGATATTACCAGCAGTAATTAAAGTACTTTTCGATTCAACTAATTTTCGTCCTATTAAAACTTTGATTTTTAAACCTCGTGGAGACTTCACTTCAGAGAACAATAACGCCATTTGCAACCCTCACCTCTGAGGGTTGGGGTCCTGCTTCTTATGACTGAGCATCGTGTAGCGCGCGATGTTGGCGGGGTAGCGCGAGATGTAAAGCCCGTGGAACTTGATGCGGTTGGACATGTCATCGTCTTCTCCACCCCAGCCCCAGAATTTATTGCTGAAGCCGTTAACTTTACGCAAGTGTTCCACCGATAGCGCGCTCACGCCACCAAAGATGTCGTTATACGGCAGCCTTGAGCAAATGCAGGTTTAGGGGAAACTTCAAGAAAAAACGAGTTGTAGAACTTGTAGCAATCTAGGCTTTACTTTCTTATCCTAAGCGGACAATCGCGTAACGAAGAAAGGAACAAGTCCCATTTAGAAAGAAATAAGAGAAAAGATCAATTAAATTGTATTGATGGCATGGTAACGGGCTTTCGGTCATGAAACTAGTTAATAGAAAAGTCACCTGTATTGCATGGTGTCTATAGCGACGCTCATGTGGCGTGGCTGCTGGGGGCAGGTGTAAAGGTTGCGGGCGTCTTCAGGCAGCAGGTCGATGTCATGGAAGATGAAGCACTCGTAGGGGTACAGCTTCACACTCTCCAGCGCCCCGATGTTCAGGAGCATTGCACGGTTGAACTTTCCGTTACCTGCAGAAAAGATTTACATTTGGTGATGTGACAACTGAGTATATTGTCATGTGGCTAGTTTACGTTCAAGATGGCACCGTGAGTGCATGGAAAGTGTTTGTTCTGTCATAAAGCCGTTGAGTTCATTTCACAGCTCTGATGTACTAAAAAGAGATGTTACAATATTGCAGCTGCCACCAAATTTCTCAAAATCTCTAGACTAACGGGAATCCACGTCGAGTAGTTGGAATAGCTTTTGGTATCGAGCCGATATTGCTAGCTTCTCGTATTGCTTTTAGACACTAATTCTTACGAGAGACGCGCTGTTTGTTGTCTATCAGTACGCTCTACAGAATTCGTCCATTGTCTGCACATCTGAGAGACATTGTAAAGGCACTAAATAATCATCTTCATTAAAAAATGATATCTCACGGCTTTCATATATATATATATATATATCAAACGGACAGATAATCATATTGATTATGCGCACCCTCTGCCATCACAAGCCGGTGAAAAGTTATCAGGATAGAATCCTATACTACACCACTAATGTGACTCCATTTAGGCACTGCGCGACACGAGAAAGTAGAAACATTCACAGACTCCATCAAATTTGTTGTTGTTATCCGTTTTCAAATTCTATTGCCATCAATCTATTGACCAGCAGGGGCCAGGTTATATATTCCTGAAGAGAAAACTTGGAAAAAAACCGACAACGAAATAAAAGTTAACAAAACTGACGAAATTTCGTCTTACATCAAGAGTGAGCACTATGATACTGACTATGTCATACAGGATGTCGAGGGCTCAAAAGAGATCTCAAAAAATGCTGGACAATCTTGTTGAGGAGAATATTGAAAGTTCATTCGAAAGTTTATTTGTCGTAGTAAATTCTGTTGATGTCCAAAACGAGCCACGTACCTGCTTGCTCCACCACGAAGATGCTGTAGTCGAGCTGTTGTTTCTGCAAGAAGGGGTGCAGATGACGCAGGAGTATTGCAAGGTGCGCAGCCCGAGACCTGAAAATGATCTTCTGATAATTAATCCAGTTCTTGAAAGCAGGTTTAATTATGAGATAAAATTACTGTAATAGAAACCCTAAGGGTTTTGAAAACTACAAGAAAACAAGAACTGGACATTTAATTTCGATTTTATTTTTTATTTTTGCGAAATGTATTTTGATAACAAATGACACAAGAATTGCATAATTTCAGGTTGAAAGAATAATGAAGAAAGGGTGTACAATGCATTCAATTAACGCAATCCGTAGTAGCAAGTGATAGCTCTTGATGGCATTCAGTATTAGTAGGGCCAGAGTTCGAGCGTTTTTCGATTTATAAATTTGAAAGTAGAGTGCAAATAATGGTTTGTCTCACTACACTGTCGAGGGTTGAGGAGCGTTAATAACTTATTGAACAAGGGTTATATATTATAAGGGAGCTGAGCATTTCCCGCACCCACCTATACGGGATGATGATGGCCACTTTGTGCCGCGACTGGCATTCCAGCGGCCGCCACTTGCCCCCCAACAGGAGCTCGGGGTGTCGTCGCTCCTCCGTCAGCAGGTCCGCTGTAGAAGCATCCACAGCGACGGGTCCTCCTGGCAAGCAGTCCAGTTTTAATTCCCATCATAAACAAATTTTATCTCTTTTTTAACCTTATCAACAATATTTACATCTATTTCTTTTCCAAGCTATCTCTGGTTCTTTTCTGGACGTTATCATCAACAATATCAACATCTATTTCTTTTCCAAGCTATCTCTGGTTCTTTTCTGAACGTTATCATGAACAATATTTATATCTATTTTTTTCCAAGCTATGTCATCAATAATACCATACGACCAAGATATTAAAGGCATTTAAGGTACTACAATTAGTAAAAGAAACGTTAATAAGTTTTGTGATCATCTGAAGAGCAGCAGCAAGACTCACCAAGGAGCGGCGGTACGGGAGGACAAGCGGGCAGCTCGTCGCTCAGAAGGCTCATGTGTGGCACCTTGCCTGTCAAGTTATTCACGCCAGTCAAGTTATTCCCTTTCTTGTTTCTTAAATCGTTTTTGTCACGTCCATCTCCACGAACCGTACTGTGGTTGAGGCTGTGATCAATTACTTGGCTATCCATGTGGACGAGTTGGGCGGGAGGGCCATCGTCAACGCTGTTGTTGACGCCACCGAGACCGAGTAATTTGACATCGCGAAGATCGTTATGGTCGCTTGGTAGCGAGGGAGAAGTCTTCTCACTGCCACGCTCACCTTGTTGGCCCTGAGCACAAAATTGGTACATTTCAGAGATGGTAATTAATGATCCAAACAAACTATGGATTGACTAGCTATAATAGTTAACAAGTTTCATCGTTCCCTCGTATAGAGGAATTCGATTGGAGTGATGGCCCGAAATTTACCAATGCGCGAGTATTTGAGACTCATTCATCATCCACAAGGGAGAGAACTGTCTTAAATGACTGGACCTCAACTAAAGCTTACAAAAGCAGCATACCAGGACGGCAGAGAATACCAAGTATTCTGCAACTTAAACTGAAACCTTAAACTTGACCTTAACCTATAGACCTTAAACATGATCTTAACATAGAGACCTTAAACTTGATCTTAAAACTGAGACCAGCAGTCAGACGGCACGAGTTTTATATTGCGGCGTTCAGGTACAAAGGGAATAATATCACAAAATGCAATAGGAATCATACCTTGAAATGAGGAAGTCCTTCGGGATCCCAGACGACTGCAGGGGAGGAGAGGTTGACAGTAAAGAGCGGTGATGAGCGCCTGCTGGACGCGACGCTCGTGTAGAGCTGCACTCCCGTCAACACCAACAGCAACAACACCAGCACCTTCCACGGCTGTCTGCCACCTACGCTGCCTAAACACCTGAAATACAGAAAATATTCTATTTACACAGCTATAACTTTTTAGCGCATTTTCTCATTTATGGAAAAAATGCACTATTGTGCTCGCCATGTCCGTCCGTCCGTCCGTCCGTGACCTCAAGTTTTCGTCGACGAGCAAATGCGCTCTCTGTCACTCACTGCAGTGAGTACTGAGTTATATTTTTCCTGAATACGTGCGTAGAACAACAGCTAGATACTTGAGTTGTGTGCGAGCTAACTAGATCATTTAATGAAAACGAATAAGTTGAATAATATTGTTGACGAATGAGATATTTATGCACAAGAGTTGGACGCTGTCACTGCCGCAAAACGCGGGTGAAACGCTATTAGGATACATGCATCGCACTTACCATCCCAGATGTGCTCAGTGAACATAAATGTTGTTTGCATCTTAGTTGACCACAACACACTTGATACATTGTTAGTTATTGCATTGAACAATTTCTCACATAGTAAGACGAACATTGAGCATTTGATGAAGGAATACAATTATTTATATGTAAATTCAATACATAGTAAGATGAAGCAGAGGTGCAAGTGAGGACTTGACCATGTTTAATATACAGGGCTTGGAGACTGGCGGGCAAGCCGCTTATGCATCGCCTGGGATTCTTCATTATACTGTACATAACAGTCCAACAGTCTTAGCGGGGGAATTCCCTTTAATTTTTCTTTTGAATACTGCTCATTTATTACATGTCTATACATGTTTACTCATTTATTACATGTTTATTACACGAATAATTGACAGAAGAATCTATTAGTACAGTTTGATGGTGGTTAACAGAGTAAATACGAAGCATGGCAACGAGACCGCAAGTTATGCGAGACCTGCAGCAGGCGAAGGGCAGGGAGTAGCAGGCGGGGGAGCAGCAGGCGGGCGAGCAGCAGCCACAGAGCACAGCGCTGCACTCAGACCAGCCATATGACTGCACTTGCTGGTACGGGTCGTCTGTAACACATCAACACGAGTCGTCTGTAACACAGCAACATGAGTCGTCTGTAACACATCAACATGAGTCATCTGGAACACATCAACATGAGTCGTCTGGAACACATCAACATGGATCGTCTGTAACACTTTGATGTAACATTTCACTCGACTGTAGCAGTCGATGATTTTCAACTATCCTAGAATTATCGAGCATTAATCAAGATATACCTACAATTCAAGATGGAATGTTCAATTCCTGATAAAATGATGTAAATTCTCGTCTAGAAAAAGAATTAGAACAAATGTGCAGACAAAACTGAGGTAAGGCGGATTTTAGGGCACAGGATGAGTGGGTGATGGCAGAGTGCCCCACCTGCACCACAAGAGTGGGTGATGGCAGAGTGCCCCACCTGCACCACAAGAGTGGGTGATGGCAGAGTGCCCCACCTGCACCACAAGAGTGGGTGATGGCAGAGTGCCCCACCTGCACCACAAGAGTGGGTGATGGCAGAGTGCCCCACCTGCACCACAAGAGTGGGTGATGGCAGAGTGCCCCACCTGCACCACAAGAGTGGGTGATGGCAGAGTGCCCCACCTGCACCACAAGAGTGGGTGATGGCAGAGTGCCCCACCTGCACCACAAGAGTGGGTGATGGCAGAGTGCCCCACCTGCACCACAAGAGTGGGTGATGGCAGAGTGCCCCACCTGCACCACAAGAGTGGGTGATGGCAGAGTGCCCCACCTGCACCACAAGAGTGGGTGATGGCAGAGTGCCCCACCTGCACCACAAGAGTGGGTGATGGCAGAGTGCCCCACCTGCACCACAAGAGTGGGTGATGGCAGAGTGCCCCACCTGCACCACAAGAGTGGGTGATGGCAGAGTGCCCCACCTGCACCACAAGAGGGTGATGGCAGAGTGCCCCACCTGCACCACAAGAGTGGGTGATGGCAGAGGGCCCCACCTGCACCACAAGAGTGGGTGATGGCAGAGGGCAGCTGGCGGTGCAGGATGCGGTGGGGCTTGTCTGGTCCCCCAGTCCCCCGGCCCACAGACCGGTACGTATGTGTGCCCCGGGAGTACGAGGCGGGACCGTACATCACTGGGGGAATTAATGCCGGGTCGTTAGAAGCTCATAATTCAATTTTCCATCTAGATTCTAGGTCGTCTAGGTCAATTTCCCATCATACAGTCATCCTAAGCGCTCAATATCCAAGACCAAGAGGATCTTAAAGGTACCAAGTTGAACTCAAATGGAGCCAAGCCAAACAACTGTAGGAAATAAATGGGTAGAATTTCGGTGCAAAAACTTACTGGCTAGGGTAGCTTTTTATCGAGGCGCGACGCCACGAGGTTCTCAATCCTCCATCGGGTAACTTGGTGAGCGTCTTGCCAAAATAACGCAGAAATCCAGTATACAAGAAAATGCGACCAAGAGACGACTAGCAGACGCAATGCGATATCCTTGACTTCCCAAACGGGTGAGTTAATTGATAGCGTATATATATAAATATATATACAGCATCAGTGAGACGGTTGGCACCCAAAGACTCAAAGCACCGAGTGGAAGCGAAGAAAAATAAACCATCAATGGAACAACAACCACCTCATTTCAATACAAGTAAAAAAAACCTAACTTACAATATCGACATTATTAGAACAGTGAGCTACGTGCTAACACATGAATAATTATCATAATTCTATTATATGAATATAAGAGGCGATGGCACATGAACCTTAAGTGTACACAGTGGCTGACGTAGAAGACTTGGGTTGATGCGAAGCTGCTGCTAATCTTTAAAATTCTACATCTAAGCTATTGGTCTCTCAACTGTGCTTATACAATTAGTTTACAGTTGATTACATAATTTTAGTTGAGACAACTAAAGATATTAAAGGAAAATGAATACATTACTGTCACATATTCACTGGAAATTGCACGCATACAAAAATGGCGGAAAAGTTTTCGGGAATGTGAGGACTAACGAACGAACTTCTGTATGGGGAAGGAAGGAACGACCTAGAGGATGTATAAACCATACAAAACACATGTTGCACTACAAATAATGGACCTTCTTCACTAACAGGGATTTGTGATCAGTTTTGTGGAGAATGGTTACAAAATATATTAAATCTCGATGAAAGAAAGGACGGGTTAATAAATGAATATCACTTTAAAGCAACAATAAACATGGCGGCGAGTCTGATCTAACAACGGGCCTTCCCCTCACGCAAGTGTATTAGCCAAGCTATTCAAACAAAAAATTATAGCAATCTTTATGGTATAAAGGTCAGAAACTTAAGAGCTATATTGATTTGGCAGCTCACAAAGCAATCTAGACTGAGTAATTCTTGTTATTACATGCGCGGGAACAGAGAATTGGACGTTATATAAATATAAATTTGAGACACCAGCTTGGCTTATTTATACTCATTGAATCCGCAGCATCAAAAGAGAGCAACGATTAAAATTTCCACTTAACATAAGGACATGACACCTACTTGAATACATTGCATTTGGAAGAGAACAACCAAAGCCTCAACCATCGTTATTATGAGTACAGTAGTTAGTTCTGTAACACAGAGGGCATACTCCGATTGCTTCAAATATAATACACTTGATTTATAACCAAATATATAGAGCAAAGTTTTGAGAACGCAGATCTTCATTTGATTTAGAAGAGTAAAATAAAAAATTAAACAGGAGTGCTGATGCACAGTCGAGTATCGATGGAAGTGCATAACAAGCTTGTCTTTAAGTACACCAAACTGTAGTTGATATTAACCCTATAACATTGATTATAACGTTGCATGTGTGATAACATGGAAGCTTATATGTGTAAGTCAAGTTGTTTAATAGTTGAGATTCTGAAGCTCTTTGAAACGCAATTTCTGCTATATGCGTTGCACGAGTAAAACGATATAAAACAAAAATTGTTTTAGGGATTCAGATAACTAGTTGAAAAAAATAATCTATTATATAAACCAAAAAATTATCCAAGTAAAACGGTCAGAGAAATCCCACTTCTAAAAATATAAGAATAACCAAACCATCATCGTTTCAGAACTGCATACTAAGTAATAGTAGAGGCTTTCAAAATAGACACACAAACACAGGTCAAATACTAGTATTCATATTTTTCAACTCGAGTGGACTAGAAAATGGAAGTAAAACTAGTCTGTGTAAGTGTAGATCAATGATACCACTGGAAAGCCATGGCTGAGGGATATTAATTCTCTTAGCACGAGACCGACACCTACATAGGTTCAGAGCACAGCTGCCGTCTCGATGTTGTATTTGGCGTTGGCGGCGGTGTCCGAAAAGTTTTCAAGAAAATGTGCACAAGTGCGCAAAAATAGATTATGCTGAGTGGGCCCAAGTCAGTTAGATAATATTACACTGATATCACGATTATATTACTGTAAGCTAACGTTATCAGTGAGATTCTGGAAGTCATGGTAAAAAACTATGTTTATTGCACTAACACATACGTACACACGAACTACGCTATTCCGAGAATCAAATACGAGTGCTTTATTTCGAACCACTAATTTTAATTTGAACATATACTGAATATATATTGATGGTAGTAATGGTGCTACCTACAATAACGAGTACGTTCATGAGATTATTAATATCTGACACATCCGTAGAGGAAGACAAAGCCAAGATCAGTTGCCACTCCAAGACAAGGGACTGATAACCTATTAAATAACAAATGATATTAACGTAGGTGACCGTATTGAAATGTAATTAATATTAATATAAGTTAGCTTAATATACGCTCTTTTTTCGAGATTCCGAGTATTCCTTAACATTATAAGATTTTAAATTCGTTCATATTTTTAAAAGGCTGCGTAACTATTAAGATGTACTCCAGCATTCGGTGCAACATGAATTGACCTTACAAAAGCAAACGAAAGCTTGGAACACGAGAGCAACGTTGACATTTACAATTTTCTTAACATATTCATTACCATCCCGCGGTCAGTAGAGAAAAATTAAGAAAAATGGAACGGCCGCGTCAGTAATTTCCGGCTTACACTTAAAAGAAAAGAATGCACGAAACCACAAGCAACGCAAAGAATATTAGCCTAAATCTGAATAACTCTACGGTAAAATCAGGGAATGTAAGAATTACTTCTCTAAATGACACTACACATAAACGGAAAGTAAAAAAACCTGAGGAGCAAAAACCAAGTTATTTTGAGACCAAAGTAATGTGCTTGCTAATCATATGAGGCGCACAATAAAATTTACCATAGGAACTACAGTCTGAAAGAATACGAGATGATAACATTACAGACTGGAAGAAATTGAAGCAATCAGCCCGCTAGAACACTCCTGCAGCACAACAGATCATAGACTAGGCAGAACACAGCAGCAGAACACAGCAGCAGAACTAGAGACGCCGCGGGTAGTGATGACGTAGCGGGCAGAGAAGTTTACTCTACGTAGCACGTAGAGTAAACTAGAGACGTAGCATGAAGTGTAGGAGATGAGTGCAGATGTTTGTGCGCACAGCAGCAGCAGATGTGTAGTGCAGGGGCTGGACTATGAAGTTCAATACGTCGTGGCTGAAGCTCATCACATCGGCGTCAGGCAGCACACAACGACGGTCTCCTGTAAATAAAGAGATAAGTTACCATCGATGCCATTATAGAATAATTAAAAACAAGTTCATTAGTGTAAATTAGACTATTTTTGATCACGCGGTAGCACGACTTAAAAATGCATTACATGAATCGTACCTTCAATGTAAGATAACCACTAAATATAAAAAAAATCATTAAAACAATATCAGAATTACTTTGTAATGAGCAACGTGACGGGGCGTTCACGAAATATTTAGTAAATCTGTCACAGATTCTTTCTCATTGAATCAATTAGCAGTACGAGCGAGTCAGACCCAATTATTCATATAAGTATGATCACACGATGTCGATAAATATCATAACCTATTTGATTTCAGTATGCATTCTACTGGATCTGATGTGAAAACTATAGATTGAATTGTATTCTTTCAAATTATTTTATCTCTAATCTAATTTATCTAGCAATGAGCGTCCATTAAGAAACCGAACAGATGCGGCTATATATAAATTAGACATATGCTCTTTAACAACGTGATTTAAACAATAGATGAACGAGAACAAAAAATTACCATGGCCAAAGTCTAAGGCACACAAATGGGGATTGCAGACTTTAACTGCACACACTTTCATAGACGAAGATTATATAATACAGGAGCTAGGATTTGCGATACGATAGGAAACTTCCACGATGTTTAAATCAACACCAACAATATTACGATCTTGCTTCACGTGAACATCGTTAATCCAGCATAAAGGTGTGGTTCTAACCGTTTTATGAGGTTGCACACGTTCAACGTGCAAGCCCTACATAAATAAATGGAACAAGTTGCGCGCAAACATTTCGAAATTTATCCGTTTCATGGTGTGAGGATATTGAAAAGTTTGTTAGAAAGCTAATAAGTTTCCAGCAAGTATTGGTCGTGACACCGTCGAGTCTTGATAAGCAAGCAACACGACGCTACGGAGCAGCACAGTAGCATGGCTGCCTCAGGTGCGTGTATAGTTTTCCTACAAACATGAATGCCTCGATTACAAACATGCTCCGACAGTCACGAAAACATGCAGCCACTGTACTCCATAATGCACCTGTTCAACAATTTATTTTTCTTCTTTATTCTATTTTTTCAATTTATTTATTCTTTATTCATTCCGCCAACCATTTAGAAAGGCTGGCGTTAGTCGCCAATTCAGAATTAGCGACTAATAATACGTGAGACTATTTGCATCATTTGCAATATAATAATACAGGTACAATCGTTAGCTCCCAAGCGTCAGCACTAGGGACGTCACATGTACTGGCATCAGCAGAGTCATAAACAGGAAGATCAGCATGGCCATAAACAGGAACATAAACGTAGCCATAAATAATAACATAAACACAGCCATAAACAGGAACATAAACGCAGCCATAAACAAGAACATAAACGTAGCCATAAACAGGAACATAAACGCAGCCATAAACAAGAACATAAATACAGCCACAAACAAGAACATAAATGCAGCCATAAACAGGAACACAAACACAGCCATAAACAGGAACAGCAGCACAGCCATATACAGGAACAGCAGCACAGCTATAAACAGGAGGAGCGGGGCAGCCATAAATAGGAACAGCAACACAGTCATAAATAGAAACAACCACACAGCCATAAACATGAAAAGAAGCACACCCATAAACAAGCAAGGCAGCACACCCATAAACAAGCAAGGCAGCACAGCCATAAACATGAAAGGCAGTACAGCCATAAACATGAAAGGCAGCACAGCCATAAACATGAAAGGCAGTACAGCCATAAACATGAAAGGCAGCACAGCCATAAACAGGAAAAGCAGGACAGCCATAAACAAGACTCACCAAAAATATTGTTCTCATAACATGGCCTATGAAAGTACAGTAATTTTGTCTTCAGTCATCCCTTAAAAATGTCAATTTTGAGATAGTAAGAAATCATTCATTATTGTACCATAACTAGCAATTTTTTCTTGTCTTGGAAAACAAGCAACTATGATGTATCAATTCGAGCACACTAATGGAAAATAGAATCAAGTCAACATTCTTGAGAAACTTGGGTTTATTGAAGAAATATCAATCAATCACTGAAAACATAATTGTGATTAGTTGTAAGTAGGTTTGAAGTTCAAACAGATTAAAGATGTTTATAGATGACTGCAAAAGATGGGGCAACATCCAAAGTGAAAGATACGATTAAATTTGTTATAACTGTGATGAATCAATATTTTGGAGTAGGGTTAATCAGGGGCCATAGACCATATTGACAAATAAATTGTCAGCATCATGAGAGAAATTTTGGAGTTGGATCAATGTATATGCTTGCAAGTTTTATAAAAGATTCATGCATAGGTATAGAATTTTTTAAGGTAGGATTTAATGGAGCATGAGTACCTAGTGAATTTCCACATATTCACAACTCCTGTGGTAGGTAGAATTTGAAGCTTCAAGAGCTTGGGTCAGACCATTGCATCAGTAAGTCATCATTTGGGCAAATTAGATATTAGAAACTTAGTGAGTATGTAGTCAGTACAGTTTTATGACCAAAAGGTAAAAGTATTTGCATTGAAAGAGATGTATTTATTCTGATATCATAGGAGCCTAACACATCCTTTGGTTTAACATCATAGGAGACAAACATGTACCGTCAAATGGGGTAATAAGGGACAGTCCTCCAACATTTTGTAGAAATGTTGTAGCAGCTAAACTAATCAAAATATTGCAAAACTAAAAATGGTGGCGTAAAATTCAATATTTTTACTATCTATGCAGCATAAAGCAAGTTGAGAAATCATACATTTATTACCTCTAAAAAATCTTTGAAAAAAGTGAGAAAAGTGAGATTTTGGAAAAGTACCTTTGCTAAGGTCTGTAGCAGAAAAAATATTTGTCATATTGAAAAATTTTTACTTACATAAAAGTTGCACACTAGTGTTTGCTTAAAAACATGATTGGCAGAATTTGCATATTTCATTCCAAGAAAAAATGGTGGCCATTTCTGCTAAATGGGGTAATAAGGGACACCCCTAAAATTGCATTTATAGTAGAAACTTGTTTAGCAAAGGCTCCAGTTAATGATAAAATCAATTAACAACAAAGAATTTTGATTACATTAACTTTGCTCAGTGAAAAAATTTCACTTAACAAAAAATTACTGCAGCAGTCATCACAAAATTGTGCATAGAATGTCATAGATAGAATTGAGCACTGGGCAACAAAGAATTTTTTTATTCTACATTTACATCAACTACAAAGGAAGAGGAGGACTTCAGAGTACTGTTAGTCATAGTGACAAACCAGAGATTTTTTAGAATCAGTTTAGTTCATATTAAACTTCCTCATCTACTCAAGATTTAATACAATTTCTTAAGTAGATAATTCTGATATTGATTATACTTTACTGGTCTACTCATAGGATTCAAAAATGACCTCGAGAGAGTTTCTGTCTTAAACATGTTGGTGTTAGTAATAGACGAGTACACTCTGCATGCTTCAAACATTTTAAAATTGAGTTTTATTTCAAGTATCACTTATTACCCCGTTTCCAGATTAATTCAGGAGCTTTTTATATTGCATCTAGCACCTTACAAATAGCATATGGAATTTTTTTGGAGATGCCATATGAAAGCCCTTGCAAAGACCTTTAAAATGAAACCAAATTTGTTTATGAAATGTTTCATGGTAAGAAGTTACCTATTAAAAAAAAAATGCTCAAAACTGTCCCTTATTACCCCGTTTGACGGTATATCCTTTCTAAAGGATAAATATTTTCTAGGATGTGCTTTGTCTATTACAAATCTTTTGGCTCCAAAAATGGCAGAAAATCTCTAGTCACAGCTAAAAAAGTAGATAAATTTCATGCTTGTCTGGAATATTATCACAGCACAAATTTTAGTAACTCAGCCAGTGAAAGTTAGGCTACTTTTTTTTAAATCACATATGACAAGACAAGGCAGATTAAAAAAACATGGTAATTGCAAGAATAATGAACAGCAAGATTACAGTATGAGAAGACATGGTTGCAATGACAGAGTGATGATGTCAAAGTCAACAATGGAAAGATTTAGGAGTTAATGTCAACATTGAGATGAAAATTTTCTAAACATATTGAAGCTCATGTTAATAAAGCCAATAAACAACTTGGACTGATCAGACACTCTTATGAGTACATAAATAGTGAAGCAATGAAACAGTTGTTTGTTGCTGTCATCATTTCATGCATCTGAACCTAGAGTTTGGAAATGCCATGTGGTCAACAAAACTAGAAAAGGTAAAAAATTTAGTAGAGTCTTCAAAAATGTGCAACAAGGATAATTCTAGGATTAAAAGGCAAGCCTTATGAAGAAAGGTTAAAGATTATGAAGCTTCCAAGCCTCTGTTATTGACATCTGTGTGGCTTTAAACTAAAAAAACTGTGTTGTAACACATCCATGTGACATTTCTTTCAGCTTTGAGTCACTGACATGTGGAACTGCCTCCATGATAGCATCATTGATGCTCCTATTATGAACGCCTTCAACTTTCAGGAACAGAATAGACAAAGCTATTCAGGAATATATGTTCAGTCTTGAAATGTCTAGCACCTTACAGGCCTTGCAATACGTCCAGCAAGTATCTCAATCAATTGTCAGTTATGGAAAGATCAGGTTCCAAAAACCGGATCCCTTGTGAATCAAGTCACAAAAAGAATAAGAATCGGCCACAGGCCATGGGCCTACCTATTTCTTTAGTGCTGACACTTCTATTCTATTCTTAAGTTGTTCAACACTTTGACTCTGATTGCTTCATCTTGTACTACTATTATTATTTCATTTTTGTACTGTTTTTAAACAAGGTTGCCAGACGGTCATTTTTTCTGGACAAATTCCGTGATTTAGTTTTTCTCAATTGAGTTGGCCAGCTAAAATTTTATTATAGGGGTACTTCCAAATTAAATTTTAAATACTGCAAAAAGAAAATAAATGGAATTTTAATAGCGGAACCTTTAAATAAACTATTATATATTGAGTTATTGGCCTTTTTTGGCCTTTTTCAGATTTGGCTGATTTTAGGTAACCTGAATTACGTACCACCAGTCCACCACAACCTGGAGAAATACATTTTGTGGTATGCAACTATGCATATGTACCACTTCGGAGTCAACGTTTAAAAAAACTGCAGCAAAAATTTGTTGCTTTTATTTTTAAATTTATCCATGCATAATGAATTATAACTTTATAAGTATAGCCTAAACCAATTTGAAACTTTGGCATTTGGTAGAATTTTCATAAAATTCCAAGAAAATATCGTAGTACATATTTCACAGGTATTTTTTATAATTTTTCTACCTACAAATTTTGTGTAAACCTAGGCTATTTTAGTGATTTTTTAATGTAGGATTAGAGGAAAAGCTATAGAAACTAGTGAAATTTGACAGATTCATCATTCAAGGGCATATTTATCTGATTCATGCATTTCATGGGAGGTTTCTGCCAAATTTTCTACTTTGGTCTTAAATCAATTAATAATGGCCTATGGCTAGCAGGCTAGCATCCCAGCTATGGGGAAAATCAACCAAATTACCTACCGTCAATGCCACATAAGTCGCCACTTTCGGAAAACGCAATAGAATATATTGCATTTAGAAACACCAATCAGCTAAAAATTAAATGTAACACTTGTACAGGGTTGACTAATGTTTAGACTTTCGAGAAAAAAAGTCACGAGGTTTTTTTTATTGCTCGATCATATAATAAAATGGAAGTTTTAGAGACTCGTCGGGAGTGGCGAGGTATATAGTACCTGCTTTAAAGTCGCCAGCGATACTGACGAAGGGTACACTAAAGTCGCCATAGCCTGGCGAGGTTATTGCAGTCTTTTCGTGAATAGCGCCTGCGTGAGGTACAGTAGAGAAAGCCTCAAATTTAGGCGAAACCAACCCTTGAACTTCGGTCTTTGTTTAAAAAATTAATAAATAAATGCTTTAGATATTGTTTTTGTACGAAAATAAATGTAACCTCAATGAATAAATTTTTTTCCTGGCTATAATAATTAAGAGGATTCAGTACGTTCCATATCCGACAAGCAGAACGCGGAAGAGTCAGAAGTAACCCGGACATGTCTTACATTTTATTATTGTCAGTTCGACTCGCGTAGTCAATATACTCGCGTATATTGTCGACTTTCTAAAGTACGGCGCACGGCGCATTTTTTTACCAGCATTCTACGGCGCACCGCGCAGGTCGTTAAAATGACAAAAAAAATTCCCACGCACCTGGCACATCTTCCTGACCATGGCCTCTGTTTACTGCGTTTCACCTCGGTATGACCCAAGGTTCGATACCGTTTGAAGGGAAAATATTTTTGCGGAAATAAAGTATCGCCCAAACGCAGTTCATCAAGCAGAATGAAAAAATTCGTTTCGCTCAACAAATGTTTATCATGTTGATTTGAAATCTCAAAACTAATAACAAATCAATTGTCGAAAATGCATTCTACTATCTTTAGGCAATATTAATAAATGTTCTAGTATTTTCCTATCTAGTCTGGAAAAGTCCTATTTTTGTCTGAAATATCGCGGCTCTAATATCATATAATTTCAGTAGGTATGAAATCTCGCGGCTCGAATGTCATAAATTTTTGTTTGATTAAAAAATCGCGGTTTGCACTTCGCAAACATGTCATTTTATAAAATTTTCAACTTCCGCAATCCGCATTGCTTTACCGTTTCTGCCAAAAATATATTGCAGAAAAAACATAAACATCGTAATGTAAACAAATAAACAAAACGTTTGTTGAAGATCGCGCATAGTTGCGGTCATGTCAAAGCGGTCAGACTGTATATTAACACGTGCTGAACTTACAGTAGAGACAAATTTTATTGTTGCCGTTTGACTGTTTAAGGGTAAAATTAGAGATTTGGGGTAACACGTGCATAAACTTTGTAAATAAATTCGCATTCGCACCTCGTAAATGGCTTTTAATGGCCGAGATATGGAATTCATGGCTCGGTGAAATAGAATCACGGCTCGTAGAAATGGAATCACGACTGGCAAATCCATAAAACCACGGCTCGCAAAATTCAGTCGCGGCTCGCCAATTAGATATATTCCATACTAGTTCCTATGATAACGAAATGTTCGTATTGGGTCAATTTTAATAAATATTTCCTTTTCCCTGCAGCGTGGCGACTTTAGTGAGGTGGCGACTTTAGTAGTGGCATTGACGGTAGGTCAAATTATCAGCTTTAATAACACATACACATTTATGATTGAGAGTTGAGACTGTCATAAAGCACAGCCAACTGAGCCAAACATTGGCTTTGAATTTTGAAATAATATGAGATACTCTACTCAATACTCATTTTAGTCAAACATTGAACATTTTAGCTAGATTTTTAAAGAATTATTCAGAAAAAGGTAACTAATTGATAAATACGCATCTCTACTTCTGCACTTGTCTTGTGCGAGTTGTTTCAAAAAAATTTTGCTCGTGCAAGACTTACGATAGTTATGACGCAGAAAAAAATGTCGAGATTGGCTTGAACGTTAAAGTAGATAACGCCGCTGCCGGACCGCTGGTTAGTGACAATGAACGGTAAGCATGTCACTTCGACAGGATACGTTATCAAACGTTGAGGGCTGAGTCTTGAGGTACACTGGTACAGTCCAGTTGTCAGTCACTCAGTCCTTTGATCCCTACAGCCATCAGCTGATCTAATCCGAAAGAAAGTTCTCCCGTTCCAGGTTCTAGGTAGTTTGAGGATTCTTTCAAATGATGCAGGAAGTAGTTCCAATTTTAGTAAATGTTATGGATAATATGCTGATCTAATAAAACTCTTACGAAATGAAACCTCATAAAGGAATACTGAATACTAGCTTAATGTGTGTATTTACAATATATTTAGTTTTATCTCTTATAAATCCAACCAATAAAGTAAAAATATCCCGAAATTTTGAGCATGATCTTCTAATAAATGACTCAGCAAATATTTATATTATATCACCAATCCTCGGACCTAATCTCAAATATTTTTATTGGAATAAAGTAGAAGTGTCGGCATTGAAGAAATAGGCCCATGGCCTGTTGCCGATTCTTGAACTTTTCGTGACTTGATTCACAAGGGATCCGGCCTTTGGAACCTGATTTTTTCATAACTGATGATTGATTGAGATAGCTACTGGACTTATAGTCCGTAATTTGCTAGGCATTTTAAGACTGAACATATATGCTCCTGCATTGCTTCGTCTGGACTTATTGCCTGGTCCGTAATTTGCTAGGCATTTTAAGACTGAACATATGCTCCTGCATAGCTTGGGCCTTGGTCTACTCTGTTTTTGAAGGTGTTCATACTCGGAGCGTCAACGATGCTAATTCAGGGAGGCTGTTAATATCCACTAATATTTTTAATATAAATAATCTTATAAATAATCCCCTAATATTTTTAGCGGTTATCGCGTTTATTAGGCCGTAGGCCTGTCGCAGATTCTTTACATCGCAGAACATCCACAGCACGTTACGGGCTCGAACTCACTGTTTTAAATTTTCTTTGCTTAACCGCCTGGCCTCCTTGTCGATTCTGACCAGAAACTGGCGCACAGAGGTGGGACCGAACCCGCACCTCTGCACCAATCTTGGTACTCTGAACTTTAACCTCTGGTTAATTACATATCTCACATGAAAAAAATTAAGTTGAATACTGGAATAATTTAATACTGGAATAAGCCATGTGCAAACTCATTATTGGTAGATGAAATCAAACTAGATAAGGCTAGTGAAATTCATAAGAATTGATTGCATTCAGCCAACAACATAACCTCAAGCGGTAATAGACTCGCATATTAAGAACTCTATCTAATTTAAAAATAATTGTTTGTAAAGAACGCGTTGGCGTGCCACAAGCAAGCGTTCTTGGGCCTGTTATGTTCGTTGCTTTTATAAACGATCTGCTAAGAGTAGTTTCAAGCGTGTGCTCCATGCATGCCGACGACACAAAAGTTTATAATACAATTAAGAATGCGTCAAATAAAGTGCCATTGCAAAATGATCTTAAGGCTTGTAGTAGCGAAGTCTGAGAGCGAGGTTTTCGCGACCATCGTGTAAAATCCTTGATCTGCCCAAAGCTTGGCCAGTCGCTACCCTCGAGCTTGTACTCTTTGTAATATGATATCCTAGCCAGACCCTTCTTTGCGGTAACTGGTCGCTTTCAGGTGGCCGAGGAATGGCCAACGGTCGGCAATAACTAATTGGATACGCCGACCACTGGCCACGTATTATTCTTCGCCCCTCATTGACTTCGCCTTTAACATGCCACCCGTTGTGAACTGACAGTTGGAGTAATTTACGATGTCTCTTTCCCCTCAAACATTGCACAACGTCTCCATTTGAGCAGCTAGTATGCGGGATTTTCCCTCCGCGTATCAGCAGACTCGATCATAAATATTTTTTGGTGGAAAATATCTATAACAAGGAAGCTGATCAAGGAATGCCGATTATACCATTCAATTGAATAAAAATTACAACCCGTTTATATCTCGAAAAAAGTGTAAAATTCGCAGACTTGATGAACAATAATATTCAAAGTTTCTTGAAATTTCCTCTCATTAAAACTCTTTTAATACAAAGTTTACATATTTTTTTTACTGGTCGACGCTTATAAATAAATAGCTGGGTAGGTATGGAAAAATCCATATCGCCATCTCATTTGCGAGTGGAGTAAAGTCTATCCTAATTAGTGAAGAAACGCTTAGGGAAGAGCCGAGCCTGTTCGAAGCCTCTCGGCTTTCAATCAGGGCCTTAATAGTTTAGTTAACTCTGCTGATATGTGGCAGCTGCGTTTTAATGCTGACAAGAGTTAAGTAATTCACCTCAAGGAGAACCATTAACAGCACGATTTCAGTATGAGAAGTCATGGTTACATGAATGAATAATGATCAAAAGGTCTAGTGTGGAAAAAGATTTGAGAGTTTATGTCGACAAGGAGTTGAAGTTTCTAGGCAAATGAAACGCAAGCTAATAAATCCAATAAACTTCTTGGACTGATCCGACGCTCCTAAGAGTTCATAGATGCAGAAGCGATGATACTGTTCATCTCTAGAACAGACTAGATAAAGCTATGGAGAAATATATATTCAGACTTGAAATGTTTAGCACCATATCGAACCCAGTGCAAGTCTAGTAGCTATTTCAAACTATCGTCGACAGTTTGGAAAAGATCCGGTCAAATGAAATGTTTTTAGATCTCCTGTGGACAAGTCACGAGAAGTACAAGAATCGGCGACAGGCCACATCAGGCCTATTCTTCAGCGCCTACATCACTATGTTTTGATATGATATGATATGATATGATATGATATGATATGATATGATATGATATGATATGATATGATATGATATGATATGATATGATATGATATGATATGATATGATATGATATGATATGATATGATATGATATGATATGATATGATATGATATGATATGATATGATATTTGTCGAAATAGCGAAGCTCTTCTTGCCATGGGTGGAGACAAACCGAGTTTGCCTATTGCAACAGGACGTTTCAGTGATACTTACGGAGAGTGAGTCACTACTTGGACAACATGACCATTTATTCTTCTGAGTGTGTAATTTTTATAAAGCCTATCATGACATGTCACCTCAATTAACACTGGAAAAGCTTTTTTAGCCACAAAACAATTGTATCAATGTACTAGTGACGTTCGCATAGAATCTAAACTTATTTTACTATTGCCATTCTCCTGCACATTACTATAAAAACAGAGCATCTTCAGCATGACGCAAAATTATATTCATTTAGCCCCGGAAGAAACCGTACATTATTTATACATATAGACAGTGCAGGTCTTTTCCATGTATTTTAAGCGCATTTTCTGATTTATGGAAAAAATGCACGATTGTGCTCGCCATATCCTGTCTTTCAGTCCGTCTGTCCGTCCGTGACTTCAAGTTTTCGTCGACGAGAAAATGCGCTCTCTGTCACTCACTGCAGTGAGTACTGAGTTATTTTTTTTTATCTTGGCGTCATATAATAAGGATGAGGCAGCCCCTGGTGGCCGTATGGGTAGAAGGCTTGGCCTCCTTGTCCTCCTGCAGCGCTCTGGCCACCGTGGCCACCGCTGCTGCTGCTGCTCGCTCCAAGCATGTGATTCTGATGGAAAATTACACTATCTTGATCTTGAGCGTTTATATTTAAATCGTATAATGGGATATTGTGCCTCAAGTTTATAATATTCATGATGGAAAATTACACTATCTTCACCCTGAGCGTTAATATTTAAATCGTATAAAGGGTTATTGTGTTACAATTTTATAATATTGATATTACCGTAAACGCTGGCCTTTTGTAATAGCGCTAACATGAGCCGAGATCAATCAGCGTGAAAAGTTACATATAAATGATATAAAAAAATTACGCTGGGAAATGGAGTGCGTCTTTGTTTAGAAGAATCCGTATTCAATCGACAAACCTATGCATATTTTTTCATTGTGGGAATTAGATTTATCGTTAGCTTAAATATTACTTGCAACTCGGCATTCTTTGTCTCTCTGATATGAAGTTATCCTACTGACTCTGCTAACCTAACTCAAGTTTACCGCCCTGCCATGTTTACTAAAGTAACTTTTCCAACAGTCTGTTTTCATTTGATCAAATTCTATTCCGTCTCCGTGTTCCGTAGATCAGTTTTTAATTCGGACTCTGTCTCTCACAAATAGAATATAGTTTGACCATGGATAGAGTAAACTTGTGCCTGCGTATGATACAGAACAATATTTTAATCACACTATTCGATTTAATTCAAAATAGAAATTCTCAACAAATCAACATGGTTTAGCAACATGCTTTATCATATCAACATGGTTTACCAACAAGCTTTATCATATCAACATGGTTTAGCGCCATGCTTTATCATATCAACATGGTTTACCAACATGCTTTATCATATCAACATGGTTTAGCGCCATGCTTTATCATATCAACATGGTTTACCAACATGCTTTATCATATCAAGATGGTTTACCTGAAAGAAGTCCTGGCTGAAGGAAGGAGGCCTCATGATGGCAGTGCTCATGTTTGCAGGGTCAGTAGAGTCCCTGAAGAATGGGGAGGTGGTGGTGGGGGCGGAGAAACAAGGAGGGTGGAACGCTGCACTGTTGGTCGATGCGTTACTGAAAAAAGCAAATATTTATACAAATATGTTTGTATACTACGACGGCAATGTTTGGGAGAAAATTGTTATCGTGATTATGTGTGATCAAATTATATCGACTTATATATCGGGCCTGAAATATTTCTTAATTCTGTAATATGCTTTATACCCACCCAGTGTGGAGGATAACTTATGCCCAGAGCTCGGCAGCGCTACTTTGAAATGTAGCGGCCGCTACCGCTACTGAAAATGTAGCGGCCACTACTAGACTAACTAGTAACGGCCACTACCTGTAGCGCGTTGCTGCCCACCCCTGCTTATGCCTAGCTCACCTGGTGAGCAGGTGGTGATGATGTTGGTGGTGGTGAGCGCGGGCCGACTCCTCCAGTCCCGAGTGATGCCCCAACACATGCCCGAGTCCCGCAGTGTTCGACGGACCGAAGAGAGGGGAGGTTATCGTGTTGGTCAGGCTGCTATTTCTTGTCACGCTGTCCGGTTTATAAGAACAATCAGCGCGGGGATTGCTGTTGTTATTACCTCTGCTGCAGGCGCTGCTTGCAGCTGCATGATGAGCTGCCCCGACGCTGGCTGAGCTGGAGGCAGCTTGAGCTGCAATAGAGCCACGTCCGCTGAAAAATAAACGAAAATTATTCAATCTTCCGCCCTCTGTTTTAATTATTTCACTTTGTCTTATAGAATTGAATAGAATAGAATAGAAGTATCGGCACTGAAGAAATAGGCCCATGGCCTATTTAGGTTAGGTTAGGTTAGGTTAGGCTAGCCGCTAGGTAGTCGATAAACCTTATGCCTCTTTTAGTTTCTATTAGAAAAGTCTGGCTTTCCAATTATAATTTTATAATTGTAATAAATCTAAAATAAGATTGTAACAAAATCCCTGCAATGAATTTAGCAATTATCCCGCCATTACCCAGCAAGGAGCGGGTTCTGTGGTGTCCTGGGTGGTGTGGGTGGTGCGGTGTGGTGGTGCAGCGCTGCAGGAGTGTGCAGCTGCACCGCACTGCTGCTCACGCTGCCGCTGCTGCACGTGTAGCTGCTGCTGCTGCTGCCCAGCAAGCTGATCACAAGGCGACAAAAAGTACTAAAAATTATTCACAAGTATTATTTTCTTTTGTATAATATAATATTTATTATTATATTCATAAGAATAATATTAGATTATTCACAACTATAATTTTTATTCTATCGAAGACTTTTTTATTGTTGCATTGTGGATTTTATTCACGCTTTGAATATAATATGATGGGTGACACATTTGGGGCCTTATCCATCAGGACGCATGGATCATAGGGAATCTTTCATGTGGTATTTTCTGCTGATAACAGACAATGTTGCATGCGAATGTTGGCTGCTCGACGGTTCTGATGTAAAATTTTTGCATTGGGGTCGGCAAAGTACAGTACGAATTTTTCAAAACAAGTAGCAAAACTGCCTCTTTACACGACATGCACGGCTTACACGACATGCACGGCTTACACGACATGCACGGCTTACATGACATGCACGGCTTACACGACTGCTCGACATACATGACATCCAATTTTTGCACGACAATCAAGGTTTGTAACTCATTCAGAGAAAAATTCCGACCCATCAAACAACACAAACAATAAGACAACACAACGGGGAACACGATATCTGAGTAACAGCAATAGTTTAAACATTAATATAGATACATTTTCCTAAATCATTCAAGCAATAACAAAAGCAAGTTAATCAGCAGCAATAAAATAACGTTCTCTCAAAATAATCAATTATGGAATAATACCAAATATTGAAACTAATACCTAAGAATATTAACAAGCAAGAAATATCATCATAAAAGCACTTTCGCAATATCAATAACTATATATCTTAGTCAAACAAATTTATCCAAAACTAATAAGAACTGTATCCAAACAATGAAACTTTGTAAAACTAATGTAACTCCTATTTAATTACTTGTAATCAGGCAATAGTTACATAACAATAAAGTTCCAGCAACAATAAAATAACAATTATTAATGACGCTCGCGCAAATTTACTAGACATTGAAAAGAAAAAAAAATCCAATGAAATTTATTATATCATCAGAGAAGACGTTCCGGAGTCCAGCTCTATCGTTCTTGAATACAGATACATCGTTCTAGTAAATTCTAGAATGCAGATACAATCAGTTAATAGTACAGATGAAAGTAGAAAAACTGAAAGTAATACGAAAATTAATAAATTAATAACAACAATACTGAGTAGAGAACAAACCTTGTAGTCGGGATGGTCGCGCTTGTGCTGCGTGCGCAGCCTCTCTGCCTCCTCTATGAACGGCTGCTTCTCTTCGTCACTCAGCACCCTGGTGGAGTGGCAGGGGTGAGTGGCAGCGGTGAGTGGCAGAGGTGAGTGGCAGTGGTGAGTGGCAGCGGTGAGTGGCAGAGGTGAGTGGCAGTGGTGAGTGGCAGAGGTGAGTGGCAGAGAAACAGAGTCAAAAGAATGGCGAAGTCGAGTGAGTGGCAGTGGTAACAAAGCGGTAGAGAAAAGTCGGTAAAAATTTAAGACAGATGAGTGACCGACTCTTGTGACAGAGGCTAGTGACAGAGACGAGCGAATGAAAACGTTACGTAGGCTACAGCGAAGACGAAGTGACAAGATGGGTGGTGAGTCTCAGAGATGAATGATGGACAGAAATGAGTCAACTAAGGGAACGAAACGTTTTTGTTATCTTACAAAACAATTTACATTCATATAATATTTTTTGTTTCATTCATACAAAAATCGTCAATTAGTTGTGATGAAAAATGATTGACAGCAATCGAGAAGAGAACCATTTTTATTAATAGATAAGATATATTTTTCACACAGATGAAGTAATAACAGGTATGAGTAAATGAAATAACGGATGAGTGAATGATGTACATTTTCCCAGGTAGACAAGAAAAAGACAATTTCAAATAAAGACAAAGATAAAGTAATAGTTTAACAGAGACAGTAGACTTTCGACCGCTTCAGAGAGATAGAACATCAGTGTCATGCATAGACATGGAATACACTCATCACCTAATACGATGATCATTGTTTAATTTAGTGCACTGCGTACATTTAAATAAATTTATTTAGCAAGGAGTATTCCGGATTAATCGCTAATATCGAGACCGTCATTAAGAGGCAAAAAATTTCATTAGAAATGAATTTAATTTTATCAAAATTCGTTCATTATGTAGATGTACATGTTTCTGAGTATTGTGAATGATAAATTCAAGATTTTATGCTCATTTGTATGGAGTATTAAACCCAAAAAATATCATTCCGAATTAAAGACGTGGTAACAAAATTTTTCATCTCGTAAACTCTTTAAGCTTGTTCTTCGTCATTGTCCTTATCAGCTCCCGTCATGACGATGGTTCTTCTAATAAACTGTCAAACTGATATAACCAATTTTTTAAGATTGCAATTATATTAATACTGATATTATGAATAAAATTATATTAAATTGCACGTTATTAGTTTGGCTACTTCCGCACTAGCCTAACTTTATAGAGCAAGTTACAAGTTCAGCTTGAGAGTTATGTCACCTCCTAAATAATATGCTATTATACTGTTGATTACTTATTTAACTTGAGAATTGGGTTAATATTAAATAACCCAATATCATACAGCAGGTCATAAGTTTAACCCGAGATTAAGACTACCTCCAGAGTTTGCCGAGCGTCTTGGAGAGCTCAGCGTTGTGCAGCTGTGGGTGTTGGTCGGAGAGCTTCCGTCGCGCAGCCTGCGCCCACACCATGAAGGCGTTCATGGGGCGCTTGATGTGCGCACGACTGCGCGACGTCGACTTCTGAGTCACGGGCAGGCTGGCCCAGTCGTACCCTGTAGGAGCTCAGGCGTTAGTTTTTGAGAATTTACAGACTGAGCTTCAATGGGAGACAGACTGCTGAATGCAATTTCTCGGCGATATTTACTTTAAAACTCAAAACATTTTTAAACACATCAGTAAGAGTTACTGCAATGCAGTGACATTGAGTTGCTTCGTAGGCCCAGATAAAAGTATGCACAAACCTAACGTTTTGAATACCTACTTATATTAGTACAACATATTTCTTTTTCAGCGGTTGCAAGAGCACAATGTTTCCAATATCATCAATGACGGTAGGATCGCATATCCTGATATAATAATTTAATATTAAGCTACACAACTTTGATGACTCCTACACTGCAACAATGGAGAAATTATTATAGTAAGAAATATTATAGTAAATAAATAAGTATTATATTAAAAGGATTTTGAAACTCAAGACATGCTCAGCTAAAGTGAAGCAACAAAATAGCTAGGAACGACAACGCACCGTTCCATCAGCAAAAACACGCCGCACGAGTGCGTTTGTTTGTCCATTTTTCTATTTTTAATTTTTATTTGGCTGATCTCAGGAGCGTTTATGAGAGCGTCAAGCTGACTGTCAAGCGACCAATTCTTGCTGACATTCGCACTCATGACAGACGTGGTTGAGGAGACAGGATTGATTGGCAGCCAAGGAGTGAATGTCAGACTCAAGCTCTTTGATCAGTTGAACTCCCGGTGGTCTGATGATATTTTCACTATAGATGCTGTCACAATATTTACGTTCAATGTTCATATCTATGCTCGATAATAAAATTTCTTCATGACAAGGAAAAAATAGTTTCATTTCCCGTAAGTGGCGGAAGAACCGGACTTGACAAGTCACAACAGATGATTGCTATGTTGTACTTTACTTTAGATCAGAAAAGTGTGACTGAACAATGGGCATCAATTTCTATTATGACTGCCTGAATAACTCAAATACTGTAAAATGTATTACAATTATTTTGTTAATTTAGTGTTGTACAAAGAATTTTGAAAGGATGTTGCTAAGCGTCTTGTTACGACGGACGTGAATGACCTGGGTTACCTGCAGCTGAGTCCCAGAGCAGCGAGGCAGGTACGGACGAAACGTTTCTTTATTATATTAACTATGCCATAGTGATCAGACTCCTTGGGATTAAAACTTGATACATGTGATAGTATCATATTTTGCTGTCATTTATAATCGAATCAAAATAGTATTAATAGACAGCGCCGTTTGACTTAGAATTTTTAGTGATGTTCGAAAAACCGAGTGATTTTTCACAAAACCGGTGTTCTTCGGTATTTAAATTAGCCCCAAGGATATAAGTGTAACTATTAGTTAAATTGCGAATTCTAGCGTGCCAGAATTAACAAAAATATATCTCAGTACTCACTGCAGTGAGTGACAGAGAGCGCATTTTCTCGAAACGTGAAGTCACGGACGGACAGACGGACAGACGAACAGACGGACGGACGGACATGGCGAGCACAATAGTGTATTTTTTCTATGTATGAGAAAATGCGCTAAAAAGAATTTAAGGGTATGATTATAAATGAGTGTTCGCTAATTATTGAAGCAACTGAATATCATGATTATACAATAAAATAATATTATGATTACCTACAACGTACTAGCTGTTGCTATAGGGAAATCTGCAGGTTCTCGGATATGGAATAATAATTTCTATTTTGTTGATGTGGTCCTGGTTACACAAGCACTGACAGCGACGTTTGATAGATTGAAAGTAAAAAATGAAATACAATATTTTTCTACTATAGCATGAATGCCAAAACTCCAACTTTATCCGTTCTATAGAAATAAAGACGAATAAAGTTTATTCGCGTTTTTTTCCAGGTTTCTCATCTCAAGAAAAAGCTTAATAAATTAAAACAATACTATATAATTCTTACTGTATGTGCTGCAAGATTAATTAAATATTATTTATAAGATGATCAAATCTTCCCGTCCAGTCAAAATTATATATCAGTTCCGTCTGGAGACAATTTACCTGGTATACAAGTTGACTTCATGTGAACACAAAAATTGACGGAAACGGCCTGAAATTCGAAAAATTTGATGATTTCATGCGGAAGTACTATATGATCGGATAAGTAAGTATAGAAATTATTATGCTTTAAATTAGAAAAATTACATTACAAATGGTTTTTCACTACCTACAGCGAAAGGCAAAGTGATCTTCGTTATTCAAATTTTGAGGATCGAGTAAGTTAAATCTTTGTTCAACTACCGTGGATTTTTGTCTCGATGAAATGCAACTTTGGAATCAAGTTGAGACCATCTACAATTTATAATACAGTCACGTTAATCTAAAATTTAGAATTTAGTCGCAACCATCTACAATTTAAAACCCTGCCACGGCTATCTGGGACTTGTAATTTAATCGCAGCCATGTACAAGTTATAATTTTACCTCAAAATATAAATGACTGGCAACTTGGAAAATTTTAGATATTCAACCTATTAGGTAATTTTCATATTATAATGCCTCACAAGCGCATGCAAGTCACTAAACATCTATGCAGGCATCAGAAACATTCGTTATTTTATCATAACAGTCACCATGACACATGATTGTGACCATTACACAAGATGTCATCGTACATAACCATGCTTGGTCATGACCATCGCGTGTGACCATCAACTGACCATCAAGGAGTCTAGTGACGGCGTCGTCGAGGCCAGCCTCCTTCATGTCCTCCGCCGTGGCCATCTCGCTGCTCTGCGAGGCCAGGGAAGGTCGCGTGCCACTTTGTGCCATCGCAATAGAAAATTTACGAGCTTTGTGCACTGCTAATATTTTTCAAAGATTTTCGAGGCTGCAAATTTCAATTTACAGTTTTTGTTTTGATTCTGATAATCCGCAAGAATTTTCGTAAGATTTACTCATTTAAGACTAACTTGAATCTAGTTATCAAATTATAATAATAATATGAAGATTGTTATGAAAAATTCGAAGTTCAACTGAAAATGCTGGAATTTAATGCAGAATGTAAACAGGAAAAGCAAAATAAGACAAGAAAACAAAAGTTTCATCTAATTAATGGACGGTTCTGAAACAATGAAAGATAGGTTTAGCGTACAAAATTTCCGTTAATTTCGCTAAATTAGAAAATTGTAACCTAAAGCTATTAGAATAGTCCGAAACTGATGCTACTGGAATTAAAATTATTAAGAAATATGGGACACAAGAAAGCTTTGGAAGATACATAGCTGCACAACACATAATATTGCGTGTCTTCTGGCCCACGCAGCGACCAACATCTCCTCAGTCAAGAGGTCAGTGGTGAAAACATGGCACTGCTTGCATGTGCATGTTCTATAATTTTAGCAGTAAACGCTCAGTAATTAGATGTGTTTAATTGAAGCTTATGGGTGTAAAAATGATGATGTTAGACATAAATTATTGCATTTGAATGAATTGGTCATGAAAAAACGCCTTAAAGCACGACTTATTGTAGCGGGGTTTGACATCTTGCTTGCATTTACACTCAGTAAACCGAATTCGATACACAGTAATATACATATGTTACATTATGATATCCCAACTGACCATCAGTAAGCCAGTCTAAGTTTGTCTACACATAACCGTTTTATTGAGGAAAGTCATGACAGGTCTCTATTATGAAGAGAAATTAGGCATGGCGATAATTATATTCACGAGCTTCGTCCAAGGGGCTTGAGATGAACACAATGGCTTGGCGTGAGAACAAGCTGCAGTGTCTGTCAGTTCGAGTGTTAGACGCGAGTCTCTTAGACAAAACATCTCGTTGTTGATAGCTTAGTTTTGGTCTTTGGAGACAAGAGCAGCGTTTGCACACCTGGCCAGAGGCACAGAATACAGCGTTGTGGCGGCAGAAGGTTGCACTGTTCACGGAACACTGAGGCGTCTCTTTGGGACACTCAACCTGTGACCGAGAAGTGCGGTGCGCCTGACGACCAGCAACCGTGGCGAATCCCAACACATCGTTGTTGTTCTCTGGCTCAGAAAGCATAATGGTAGCTCTGCAACATTTAACTTTAGAAGATCAGAACACGGCAGATTGTTCACAGATCAGAGATCAGATCAATTAGAACGGTTTTGCATGTAAAAATAAGTTGATATGTGATTTTAATTGCGACAATAGGAGGAGCTGGAGAGGCGGGGCGAAGCAAGTGGGCGGGGACTTGGTTAGAGGGCACCCGCGAGGCGAAATATGCGACGGTGTGCTTGTCTACCGGTTTAATCGATGCTCAAGGAAAAACATTACTGCTATCGTGAGCATTTCAGCGAGTCAGGCAAGATTTGAACTGAGCGTAAAATCTTGAAACATTGTCTCTGGGAAACCTTTTGATGATTTTGGTGGGCACGTCTACATAGGAGTTTAAGACAAGTAAAATATATAATAATCCTCCTAGTCTAAATATTCATTCACATGTGGCAGCCTGAAGTAACGAAGTAGAAGTTTTTAATTATTCCTTACTCTTGATCGACAAAGAGGGAAATTTTTCTAAACTTTCCCTATGACACGAACTGAACAGAATCTTCTGTACGTCAGTTCTTCCTTCCTTTTTAAACCTATTGATATTTGAGATTTTTTCTCTCTGATTGTAAGTAAACCTTTTGAACTTAGTTGTTTTTCTCATTTTTCAATATTGTTGTAAGAATTTTACGGAACATACTTCTCTCGTGTACATAAGGTTGGGACCTTTTAGGTAGGACCAGAGTTGATGAGCTCAGGCTAAATTCAATTTTAACCAAACTTGCCCTAGATTGTTCAGCAATTTGGTACGTGAGCATTTACTTATGTTATGATCATTTTATTGCTTGTTGACCTCGATTATTTTCTCTATATTGTTTACAATTTCGAATAACCTCAACTTTGTGTTCAAATTGTTCATTCTTTATTTTCAGAAACCGTTACAATCCACAACGAGTTTTCATTCTGAACAGTTCCCGAACAAAGAGCCATTCTTTATAATTGTTATCAACATTATAGGACTGTCGTTTTTGTTAGAAAATAGGAATATTTCATGTTGACTTTATGAATAGATTTCAGCCAAAATTGAAGCCCTGTGCACTTAAGCTGTTATATGCATTATTCAACAGAATTATAATTTTTGCAGATTAATTATTTCGTGGTTTTATTTGCTCGATAAGGTGGTTAGTATGAATAAAAAATGTATCTCAATGAAAATTTAATTAAAAAAATTAAATTCAATACTAAAGTAGATTTCGATTTCATTATTTCAACGTAGATCAAACGGAATAATGGAAACACATTTTCTACCTTGAAAAATATATATGGGAAGATTTAACGTCAGGCTCCTAGTTCCGTACTATCTATAAAATCTTATGGTTCCAGCGAGTAAAATTTTGGTAATGAAGAAGTATTTAACTTTTTATAAACAGGACGTACGTTATGAGAAAACTACAATCGCTATGAAGCGTTTTGCAGCCGCCCAAAAATTACGTCGATACCCCAAAATACGATAAACACATGTGCGTTGAATGTACGAATGTGCTCGAATTATTTTCCTTGTGCGTTCTATAGCTAACTTCCAACTTAGAATAGAATGAGTGCCTGTTGATGATTAAATCCTATATCGTTCCGTTCACACAAATATTGTGCGGGTGTATAAATTTCTTTTCATCGCTCAAGAATGATGAATGAGTTTGGTGCCACGAATGTGAGTTGTGCTGGGACCAGATTCACTGGGAACAGAATTACCGGGAACAGTTTCACTGGGAGCAGATTTACCGGGAACAGTTTCACTGGGAACAGATTTAACGGGAGCAGTTTCACTGGGAGCAGATTTACCGGGAACAGTTTCACTGGGAACAAATTTAACGGGAACAGTTTCACTGGGAACCGATTTACCGGGAACATTTTCACTGGGAACAGATTTATCGGGAACAGATTTACCGGGAACAGATTTCGTTTCACTGAGAACAGATTTACCTGGAACAGTTTCACTGGGAATAGTTTTACGGGGAACAGTTTTATGAGCACCGCATGTGATCGGTCTTAATAGGACAGATGAGTTCGGTCCCACGGCGGCGTCCACAAAAATGCTCGCCGCAATCAAACGACGCGAGCGGCGACGGCAAAAATCGCGGCAGCGGCGGCGTGACCTGGCGCGCGTGTCGGCGTAATGAGACGCGCGTGGCTTCCCCGCCGAACAATTGTATATGATGTATGGTATATGGTATATGGTATATGGTATATGGCATATGGTATACGATATATGGTAGTGGTCAGTTGGGTGCGGAGGTGCAATCAAATGTAATGTAATATTTATGTACGAATGAATTTACTGCAAAGGCTCTTTTTCGGGATTGTGCACTAATCTGCACAATTGCACACTAATATACGCATCATTGCCCACATCGCCCTTTGACTGGCTGCGTCGAGTTTTGGATGCTCCTGGAATAATTGTCTTGACACACCTAGGCAACGGAGCATACCAATGTATTATCTAAAATACTTTTAAATCATTCATCATTGACGAGCTAGCTTTTAAAGTTGTCCTTACAAGCTGATTTGGTTCACTTGCCAGTTCAAGCAAGGCAGGCGCGGGCGACCTCTATAAACATGTATATCTGTACTGCAGCTGGGATGTCTTCGATGAGTACGACAGGGAAAAGCACAAAACCTCACTGCTTTGAAATGATTTTATTTAAACCTATTACATTAACGCGCGACAATAAAAACCAAAGTAATACGATTTGAATATCAAAATGCAATCAGCAGTCTGAGCGAATTAAAAGAACATTTTTCAAAATGAGTTTGTACAATAAAATTAAAGGAGTTATTTTGACTTTAGAGTGCGTTACTTAGGACAGTACGAGTTTCCTTAGTACTTAATATTATAGTAATGGTAAATAAAGAAAAATCGACTCTCTAAAATTATTGGAAAAAGGCCTGCTAATCGCAGCTATGAATTGCTGAAAGGCGATAGTCCTTAAAATAGGGATCGCCTGTCACATATATTTTTCGATTTACTTTCTAATGTTTAATAAAAGACATGATTCATGTCAACACAATTACAATTTTTCAGAAAAAATATTAGAATTGTTTCATAAGTATAATATAAAAGTTGAATGGATAATTTTTCGACAGATTTAATTTATCATTCACTTTAATTTATTTTCTTTTTATTGAAATTTCAATCGAAGACGAATTGTTCAATCGAAATTTGTCAATCTACCCCTTACAGTGTATCGGTGTTTTTAATTGTTCTAGTGTCTAAGTTTGTACCATACCATATACCATGCAGTGCATCGGTGTATTTCCTCTAGAGTCTAAGTTTGAACCATACCATGCAGTTTATCGGTGTATTTCTTCTAGAGTCTAAGTTTGAACCATACCATGCAGTGCATCGGTGTATTTCTTCTAGAGTCTAAGTTTGAACCATACCATGCAGTGCATCGGTGTATTTCTTCTAGAGTCTAAGTTTAAACCATACCATGCAGTGCATCGGTGTATTTCTTCTAGAGTCTAAGTTTGTACCATACCATGCAGTGTATCGATCGGCGTTTATCTTCTGAATTGCAAGAGGCAAATCGTTGCCGATGGGAAAGCTTGTTTGAAAAATGCTCTTAGTTATGCATTCGCAAATGTGATATTAGAATAAAATCGTTTACAACATAGAAATACATTTATTATTATCAATAATACAATAATAGACTAGAAGTCATGCGCAGCTCTGTCGGATTTTATCCCACGTACGCGTTGCTCCAACGGCCCATAGCTACGGGAAATTTCCGTACGTGCTTGAAAAAATTTGATGTACGTTAGGTATTTAATTAATTTCTACTGTAATAATTTGCATCCAGTGAAATGCTTTTTAGCCACGCAATGAATAACTATTATGAATAAGTTAAACA